ACTAATACTCTCTTTATAGGTTATTTTTTATTCTTTGAAGGATAATTGAGGAAGATATATTTTGTTATGATGTCACTAAATAAACCCTTGTATAAAATTTTATACTGTCTGGTTTATAATGTTATACTATTGCATTTTCGTACAGCAAACTTTCATTCCCTATTCTACTCCCTAAGTATAAATTTCATAAATTCGCTTTATCTTTGTGCCAATTTTTATGTGTATAATCCAGAGGTCACCAAGTTTTATATAAATTTTTACTAACTTTATCCATTTGGCTGATGAATTTCAAAAATTTCTTCTAATTCTTTTTGTAGGATTTCATTCTTCTAGACCAAATAGTAAGGAATTTTCATACAACAAACTGTTCCGACATAATTTTACTCTCTAAGTGGATGAATTTCCTAAAATCGCTTTGTGTAGCTAATTCACTAACGTCGTTTAAACGAACCTTTGTGCTAATATTTATGTATCTAAAGCTGGAGGTATGAATTCACTCCTAAAATATCTAAAAACTTAATATATAATCTAACTGACACACCACTGACAATGACAAATAATTTATTTCTGGAGGTATTGTGTGTAGGTGTTTTTCAGGTATGTTTTAGTATTTAGTCGTTTTACACAAAGAAATAGCCATTAAGCACTATAAGAATACTTGATAACAAATCTACACCTTTCATTTAAAAAAAGAATCATCAAGATTGGTGAAGCGGTTTTGGCGGGATGAATGCAACAAAAAAAACCTTTGAGCTTTTATATATGTATGGATTAATTATTTTTCCAACATATTTTACTTTGCAAATTTTTATAAATATTCAGACTCGCCAATATCGTAGTCCACCGTGTCCAGCCTGTTTAGCCAAACGTTGGCCGATTCCTCTTCGGCGGCGCGTGGCGTCGTTACCTAAAGGTTGTCGCCCACTAGACCGCTGCGCGGCGCGGCGCTGGGAAGAGAATTTTTTCCGGCTGCGAAGGAACTGCGCCCACTATAGCGCGCTTTTGAAACGCGGCAACGCTATTTAGTTATAGTCGAAGTGTTTTTTACTTACTGTAGTTTAGTTTTTAAAGCAATGAGTTCAAGTACGGACGAAAGCGTATTTTTTGTGCTCTTCTAACAGAGGAAGAGGAAGAGGGGGTGAGGAAAAGTTTGGACTCATACGATTAACCAAAAAAGAAAGAAGTTTGGAGTATTTTACCATCTTTTTCCAGATTTAATAAAAGACAAAATCATTTTTTTCAGTATTACAAAATATAAAGGAAACATTTTACGCACTCCTTAATTGAGGGTTTTAGAAGAAAAAACACCGGGTATCATCATATTTTTTCAGAAGAGACAAATTACTAATATTTTTGATAATTCTTATTTATTCTGATGTGTATATTAGTTATGTAGTCAAAAAAACCCTGATCTTTTTTATATATTTAGGTAATTAGAATGTAAAAATTGGAGATTGTCACTTTTGTTAAAAAGTGGAGATTGCCAGTTTTGCCTCTACACCCCTCAATTATATTAAATCTTTGATAGAAAGGCATTTCGTCCATCTGTCTCTGGTGAGGGAAGACTAAAAAAAATATCATATTCCTTTATGAAAATCGATTTGCCTAATTTACCTTTAAAAATACAATTCTGCCATTGATACATATCACTAGTTCCTAGTCAAAAAGCCAACTGAAAAGACTCGAATGCAAAATTATTTCCCTTGTGAGTACGCACACTGCAACGCGCCGAAACGCGGGAGACGGAAAAAAGTTGCTAGAGAAGTCTTTCGACTTGTTGACGGAAACCCCGCGGCGCGACAACAGGTTACCCTGACCGATGGAAGAGTCTTGAATACGCTCATCCGCGCATAGGAACAAGTTGACTGCGTAGCGTATTGCGTTATTAATCGATTCTGAAATTTTCTATCTCATGTATAACATGTTACACAAGTTTATTATTTTAATCTTGATTTTAATAGATAAATATGTGAAATGCCACCTGAATATCTTCCGCCATGACATGTTTTTACTTTTTTGTTATGGTATAAAAAGATTTGTATAAACTTTATTCAATAACGTATATTTTCCTCCATTTGGTGATTTTTTAATTTTAAGCGAAAATTAAGTATAACAATTTAGGAAAAAGAAACACTGTAATATTTAAAAGAATAAGAAGAAATTAGTCTTATTTTGAAAGAAAGCTATAGAAAAAACTCTTTCTATAGAAAAAAGTCTTTATACTAACCAGAATCCGGTGACATATACGCGGTCTCACCGGAAACATTACTTATTACTTCACATAACTTGAAGAATATCTACTTGTAATAATGAACACTTCAGAAATACACCAGTAAAAACATTTATTATTTGAGATTAAAACTCGAATGAAATTATAAATATTAGTTACCTATGTTGTTATAGCTTTTATAGGCCTGTTTAACGACTTAATAAGTTACCTAGCAAAAAAATCCGTGCGCGTTCCTACCACTATTGTTACAGGTTAATTTTTTAAAGAAATATGTTACACAAATTAAAAACGCTAAACTTTTAATGGTACTACTTGTGCATTATTGGCCTTATAATGCAATTAGTTGGAATTATATCTTCTTTAAATATAATTAGACTTTTTAACGACTTTTAAGTTACCTAGAACAAAATCTGTGCACGTACCTACCACTATTGTTACAGGTTAATTCGTTAAACAAATGTGTTACATATTATTCGTGGTATTCGTGGTATTATATTGGAATCAGCTTGGCATTAGTGGGGCATTATATGAGAAATTTTGGTACTTAATTTGTATTTTTGGCATTATTTTGGCATTAGTATACAAACATTTGTCAGCGGTTTACTCCTTGTAGATAATCAAAAAGTTTTTAGATAAAACTTGCTTTTTATATCAGATCATTTATATGAAAAATTACATTAGATTTTTATTAAAGACGCTGGGTAATTAAAACATTGACTAATAAAGCTTGTCCACTTTAAATAAGGGGTTACGAAATATCCTCCTTGGAGTGTTTGGGTTATGGGGTGTATAATAAATTAATCCTTGTTTTATAGTAAAAACCATAAAACATTTATTTGTGAGTAAAATAATGCAATGGTTGGATATCTCTCCTTTATAATTAGGTGACTAAAAATACACTAAAATAATTAGAAAAAAATATTGTAATTATTTAGTATATACGTCAATATTAATTAATTGACTTTCTAGTCTATTTTATTTTATGTACAAATATATTATTAAATTTTAATCTAAACATTAAGTAATAAAACACTTTGTGCCCTCTTATATCGTAAGAGGTTACGAAATATACTCCTGGTTACACCCCTTACAGAAAACAGTGTAAGGGGTGCAAATAAATTGTATAATCACTGTTTTTTATAATAAAAACTATAAAACATTTCTTATTTGTGAGATTATAAAAACAAAACAATGCATTGGTTAAAATAAGTACATTCAATATGTATTGTATTAGACATTTATATGCCCAGTATATTTTTGTTTAACAAACCAATCAGGAAAAAATCCAAAACCTACCGTTATAGGAGGTATAAGATGATTAAACTTATATAATGACAACTACTTATCGGATAACAAATTACTTCTACTGTCAGCTACTGCCTAGGTAGAATATACCTAGAGTACCTACACCTACCTATGATGTAGGTAGATTAAAGCTTATTTTGACTTTACGTCTCACTTCGGTGTCACAAGCTGAATTTTTCAGGGATGGAAGTACAGTACATGATATGGGGACCCTTATTCCGAAAGTAGTACAAAAATTAGACCGGGTAAAGGGCACTATCATCAACAATCGATATATTAATACCACCGTATAGAGAAAACAAATACTTATTTTTTGGTCCAGTACACAATAAAGTCTTCGTAGGGAGTAATTTTTTATAATTATTTACAAAAAAACATTTCCATTAGCGCTTATGACCAAAAAAAACTTTAAACATGAATAACTCATTTCAATCATGCGAAAATTTGGTTTAAAAATAGCCTTTTTTTAATATAACTTTCATTTAACGAAAAACGAAGGCCTAAATGAAAAAAAGAAACAATTTAAAAGTTTCGCTTATGTCTTGACAAGGTATCAAAGCAAACCCCATATTTTTTGCTTTTAAACTAATAAAGATATATCAATAAACAATTAGTGATGTAATGGTTTTTGCGCGCGCTGGCCGACTGCCGCCGCTGCGCCGAGATTTCCTATACCCTTGTATATATGACGTCATGGTGTGGCAAATGTAGCATTTTAATTCGATTTGGGCTCCCTTATATAGGATAACAGAAACATTTTCAATGTTAAAAATAATGAATGAAAAAATCAACACCAATTTTAACTGCTTTCGTGGACGCGATGCAAAAGTTACAAGATGAGAACTATACTTATTAATGATATATCGCTTTCGTGTTGTCTAGACAGACTTAATATGCCTTATTAATAATTTTATTAATATATTTAGCGTTCCTAATCGATCTAAATATTCAGGATATATAGATATGTAAATCGAATATCGAATCTGCCTATATCCAGTGGATGTACTTGAACTTGTTTTTCCAAAAAAAAAACTTATTCATTTACCAAGACCTTATAACAAATCAAAGGCTACACGTGACAAGACTTCAATTAACTACATACATACGTTATTACATTCTTTTTTATTTATTTTCTATGAACCGAATCATATATAATTCACCTACTGTTGTACGTTTTGAATTTTAATCAAATTAAAAGTAACTGTTGTTAAATTATGGGACTTTTTAACATTAGATGCAATTGGTTTTTATTCTACAATAATTTTAGATATATGAAAATGAGATTACCAAGATTCTTTGTGACGAAAAATACCAAACCAAACTACAGAAACTATTTATACAAGACTTTTTGTAATTTTTTTGGGACCCATTTTTTATTACATTTTTTTTTAATTATTAGTAATAGTTAACAACATCGCTTAACAATAAATAATTAGTAATTATTTTTTTCTATTTGTTGTTTCAGAATTACAATGCAGCATGTCGAGTCAAGTAAGGTATCAAGTCCATGCCTACTGGGGTGTCAATATCAGAGAACTTCATATATTTTTGTGGAGGCCTTGGGCAGACATAAAGAACGCATGTGCTGGTGGTGATTTCTTGAGAGGCTATTATCAGTATTTAGGAATCCAACTAGAGTAAGAAATATTAGTATTTTTACTTAGCATTCATCGCAAAGTCGAATTTGTTACAACAACACACAATTTATGGCTATAGCCACCATATGATTGAAAAAGAACGGCATCCAGTTGGCTTAGAAATGAACATCGATGATATTCCCCATTTAATTTTAAATTTTACGTATAAAATGACAGCGATCTTCATTTCATAGCCATCGCTGACGCCGTTTTTTTTTCGATCACACGGTATATGGGTTATACAAATAGATATGTATTATGTATTATTATACCATACTGGCAAGCGAAACATTGGGTCGGCGTCTACATGTATAGGAGCGAATCGCTATGACAATCTACGAGTAGTAAGTCGGAGAGAGCAAAAATGCCAAGTATTTATTTGGGAAAATACTTGCTCTTCTGTCTTTATTTAGTACATCTTATTTTACTAAGCGTGTTGACCGTACTTTTCGTACACACGAAAGGCAGCACCCAAGGCCAGAAATACCTAGTATAGTAATAACATAAGTAATGACTAATGACTATATGACAATATTATTGTAACCCGACATATACAAGCAAAATGTAGCCAAACCGTTTGTTTATTTCCAGTTTAATTTTACTAAAGATCCTTTTTAAGATCCTTTTTTGGCGTAGTTTCAGGCTGTTCATAAAAACAGAAAATGGTTTAAATAATCACATACCTCTATTTATATCAATAGTATTTAGGAATTGTAGTATTTTGGAAAAGTTATAGAAATTTCCAAGGACACATTTTTCAGAAAAAGACACATACATAAGATGAAACTTAAAAATGTAAACAATGAACCAAAATGTAAACAAACAACCAAAAAAACTTAAAAAGAAAAAAAAAACAAAAAAAAATTAGAAAATTGAAATCAAAAAAAGGCTTTAACTTTTAAATAAACAACTGTGGTGTTGTCAAATTGGATTTTAAAAGCCGAAAACTGAGATGTCTATGATTTTTAAATTCCGAGTTATGTTATTATAGATTATTGATAACAGAAACAAACAATTATTATACAATATGAATCGTCCCTACAAGAGGGAAAACTTTTTTATTATTAACATTTTGAAAAAAATGCATCCTTTTATAAAAAGTTCGTTTCTTCTAAAATGGATTTTTTTTCCAAATTTCTATACAATTTTAGAGATAAATTAAAAAATATATGAAAATACCGCAGAAGGAAATATATTACCATTGAAACGTTTTTTGAAAACGACTTGAAAAAATTGACGTGATAAAACGACTTGAAAAAATCAACCATATTTTTTATTCTCAAAAACGGTATGGATTCGCCATTTTAGAGCAAGCAAAAATGTTTAAGCCAAAATATTTCTTAAAATGTTAATAACACATAATAGTCAAGATACGGCTCGGCTGCATGATTATGACGCTCATCATATTTTTAATCAAAACCTAATTTTACGTATATTTATGAGTAGGGGAATACACTTTAGGGGTTGTAACGGTTCAAAATTTTTCCTACTACTTTATACGGGTCTGGCAACAGTATGTCGGGCATGCATATGCATAGCTCTTATAATAAAAACTTAGGAGTTTTCGATAAGTGCAAACCTAAACCTTTTTTACAACGAAGACTAAAATTATTTTATATTTTAGAAAATTTGACATAGGATTTTGAACAGCTTGTATGGTTTAAGATTACGATATTTATTGCTGATTAAGTACAGACCAGTAATACTAAATACGTAGTATAGTTTTGATTTCAGGACATTTCTTGTATTTTTATTTTTTTTAAAAAGACTGAAAAATATTTTTTTATTTAGTAATATTTCTGGATCTTAGGATTATGAAGGCATCAGAAAGGAAGCCAAAAATGCAATAATGTACATGATGTTCCATTTAAAAAAATCATACCGATCCGATACACTCACACTTTTTTGAGCCACCCTGTAGAAGTTGAAATTATTTTCCTGAAATACATCCTTTAAGTTAGTTTAATACATACTTTAGGTTTGTCTTTATCCAAAATTCCTAAGTTTTTTATTACATGAGCTACAGATGCCCGAGGCATTGTTGCTGAACCCGCATAAAGTAGTAGGAAAAAACTCTGATTTTTTTGACAGTGTGCCAATCAAAATTATTGAAATACTGTTAAAATTATTAAATATTATAGGAGCTATGGATGCCCGACGTATTGTTGCCGAAACGTATAAAGTAGTAGGAAAAACTTTGAACCGTGGCAACCCCTAAAGTGTATTCCTTTATTCATAAATATAATATGTAAAAAATTAGGTTTTGATTAAAAATATGATGAGCGTAATAATCCTGCAGCCCCATCCTCTACTAACTTTTTCATCTTGTAAAGACGCTCCTGGGACACTATAGTCTATATTGCGTAGCGAAGAAACCATTATTGTTAATAACATTTTTATAAGTAAAGTGGAAACCTAGCCTTATTCGGTTTACATCTTATCTGTATATCTTGGGTACAATCGTTTTGTACAGGGTGTCCCACTAAGAATAGCTCTCGGCTATATCTCGGAAAGTATTAGCCGTAGCGGCTGCGGAAAAAAATATTTATAACTAAAGAGGCTATGGGAAATTGCTGGAAATTATTTTCAAGTTTGTAGAACGACCGCTAGGGGGCGCAACTGCAACAAAAAATAAGAAAATGGAGTTTTTACACAATTTTGCCTAGATAAGGTGTACTATAAGTAACAGCTTCATAATCTTCAGTAAATTTTGAATATTTTTTGTTAGAGCCATTTTCTCCTATCTACCAAAATAAACTGGTGGGGGAAGGTTAGATCTGTTTTTATTTGAATATTAATAACTCTGGACTGGATGATCGGAACCCAACAAGCAAGGGCTCGTTTAAAAGAGCGTTTCTGTACCATATAAACAATAATAATAAGCTTTTGAACGTAGACGCTAGGGGGCGTTCCCAACTAGCAAATATAGTTCCCAGTCCTTTTTAAAATGTCACTGCCCCTAAAGTATAGTTCCTGGGCCCACTCTGCCACTTAAAATGTTACTCTATAAGGGATAGTCACTTTGAAGTATATTTCGAGAGTGACCGGTTAGTGCCTACCTACAATAAAAGTGGAAAATAAACACCCTGATTGCAAGTCGCAAACATGTAATTTAAAGAAGTGGCTGGAACTACCCGAATCTTCAAATATGACACCATAAAAGACCAAAAACTTTATAGTAACTTTTCAAAGTAGCGGTTACTAACAAGTGCTACCATAATGCCTCCATTAAGTTTTTGTTACTTTATAGTAACAATTTAAGTTACGGGGTAGTCGCGGCCACAACACCTAGTTACTTCTAATTTATAGTAGCATTGAAAGTAGCAAAATGGTTACTGCTACCTTCCTAGGTCACTATAAAGTAGCCGTCGCTCATCCATTGCCACTAAAAAGTCACGGGGATCAAAAACGGCTACTTTATAGTGACTATAACTTAATATACCCTAATAAATGTACATGCCTCAGACTGCATCGTGTACTGCTCTGTTTTAGTGTTTGTTTACTAGCTTTTAAGCTTTATTAAAATTTTGTAAAATGCCTAAGGTGAATAAAAAGAAATTTAGGTATTCTAGTACTATATAGAAACACTAAAAAATGCACAGTAAGTATGCACAAGTAATGCACAGTATCAATGTTTACTAAAAAATTTAATGGCGTCCTATTCTGTTTAGCCGTCGCGTCTCCAAGTGGGAACTTCAAAGGACAAGGCGGAACGATATAGTGGCACCAATGGAATGTATAGTCGCCACCAGGGCCGTCGCTAGACTTTGGGCCGCCCGGTGCAAATTTTTAAATTGCCGCCCTTATATTATATATAATAAAAAAATAATTAAGTTAAAAAAATCTTTATTAAAAAATAGAAAATAGAAAGGTTAATGATAAATACACACATCCCATATGATCCTAAGAAATGGCCTCAAATTACCTTAGAAATGACAATCGATTAAATTTTATATGTAAAATTATATGAGGAATGTCATCGATCATAATTTCTGTTTTTTTTTCGATTATACGGGACTAGGATACTTACATAGAACACCTACATTTTCGCAAATTTTCACACACATTTTCACAAAGTCTAATTATAATGACAAATTCTCTATTTTTTTATAAACTATAGGGTGTGTCATTTCAATTAGCAGGGAAAATAACATTATATTTAGTTTCGACCCTATTACCAAGCAATTTTGACCGTCTATACCGGGTGTTTCTAAAAAGTGGCTCACTGCTATAACTTTTTTTAATTTTTCAGATAAAAAAACGAGATTTGGTACGTGAGTATATGACATAAATCAAGATTGATTGACGTATTCAATTGTTTTCGATCACGTCCTCTTTTACCGGAAATTACTACAACTTTTGATTTTTAAATGCCACCCTCCGTATTTTTTTACTTTATTTGATAGAAAATGGCACTTTGAATAGAATGAAATATCAGATGACATATTCGCATTTAGTTTATTTGAAATTGTAAAATGCGGTTCATAACGACAATTTGATTCGAAATACCAAGTTGAAAAAGAATCAATATAATCCAAAGAAGAAAAAATTCCAAAAAAAAATTCCAAATATGCTAATGAGTCGGCCTCGTTCCGTTTGAAAAATCGAGATATGATTAAAAATACGATTTGGGCATTTTTAACTGGCCAGGACAAGACACGAAAAACATTAAACGATCAAATCTATTTTTCCAATAAATTAAAAAAAATACCAGGGGTGCGATTTAAAAATCAAAAGTTGTACACACTTTTTACACACACTAAACAGTTGAATATGCCAATCAATCCTAATTTATGTCATATACTAATATACCAAATCTTGTTATTTCTTCTCTGAATATAAAAAAGTTATAGGGGTGAGCCACTTCTGACAAACATCCGATATACCAAGCAATTTAGACTATTTTATTATGTTAAAAATAAATAGAGAATAATTATAGTTAAAAATTGTTAGATTTTAAATACCACCCGGTATAGATTTATTATTATTATATATTATTATTACATAGATTATGGTTTTGTGTTATTGGAATAGTCTTACATATCCAATGAGCGAAAAAATGTACAGAACTGCATTTTCAAAAAGTAACTATAGCTATTTTTGTCTGTTATAGTATAACTTTGGTAGATATAAAAATATACTTCAACCCTGTTATGAAAAATATTAAATATTTTTAGAATGTGGCATCTATACTTTCAAAAATTAAAAAAATAAATAAATAAAAAAGTGCCTCCGACGGCCCTGCATAAGCTCCAATTAAGTGGCAATTTGGTGGCGCAGGGAACTTTCTTGGAAAAAATCACTTTATGGTTCCAAAAAATCGTTGACCATGTAGTTCCAAAAAAGTTATTGTTTCTATAAAGTCGCTTCTGGGTAGTTACAATTGCCACTTTATCAACCCGAAGATTTTAAAGGTCCAAACGGGTAGGGTTGGCCTAATATGTTATAGTTCCCGGTACTTTGTGGAATCATATGGAACTATAAAGTATTTTTCGGATTAAACGGCCATATTTTTTTCATGAATTTTTAGACGAACAGCCAAATGGCTCAAACATTATGCGTTTTTAAGCTAAATATACCTAGATTAAAGCTTCTTTCCTTAGTTATTTTGTTATTTCTGACGGTCGACTAATATTTTAAAGTTTGACCCCGGTTTCAAGCAAATTTTTATTATTTCTTAATCACTACATGAGTTTTTATTGCAAATAATATAATAATTTGAAATATTTTGAGAGGCGCTCGAAAATTTTGTTATATAAACCTACTATTTTATTCAGTAAAGTTGATTGCGTTCTGGAATTTACCTCAAAAAGGCGTTAAAATCGCACGGTAAATATCGAAAAAATAATAATGGCTTCCATAATTATTTTCCATCATGACATTTATTTTTATGAAATGTGAAATTGCTTGAAGAGGTCGCTGCAAATAAAGTTCAACTGTTTAACGAAAGTTCCATATGTCGGTAGATAACACTTGGCTGCCACGAACCCGCGACTAGGCAGCTTCGTACCGGATAAGTCGCATTCACCAGTAGGCTACTTTATAGTAACACATTATAGTAACTCTTTTAGTGGCAAAAACTACCCGAGACACTACCCGGCTACTCAAAATCTTTCCCCATTTTGGTCGCAGTTACGTAGCAGCTACGAATATACGACGTAGCCGCCGATGGTCACCGCCCACTTTGTAGTGGCTTTGATAGTAGCAGTTACGTATCTGTCACTATAAATGCTAGTTGGGTTGTCTTACAATTTAACAAAAATTGCGCGTTTTTTCAAAAAAAAATTAAATGCAATAGTATGTGTAATTTTAGCTCATAGTAAAGAGTAGTAAAAGCTTAAAAAGTCAGCGAAAACCGCATCTTGATATCTTCTTTCAAACCGAAGATATTAGACTTACTTTTACAACACGGTATCAGTAGCCCTCTTGATTATGCCCATTCTAACCTAAAAATAAGATAGAAACAGTTAGTTTTTTTTTAAATCGACGATATACCAGAATATCATAATATCAGATGTATTAATATCTAATAATTAAGATATTAATAATAGTGAACAAGAAACGATGATTCAGTGAAGTCATGGTAGGCTTTGGAAAAAAGTTGCTTTTGACGTAATAGTATAAACGTCAAATTGTTATTAGATCAACATTTTGATAGTCTTAGTAGCGTTTTTTATCTTTTGATTGCTTTTTCAAAATGCCACCAACTTCAACTACTTCAAATAATAAAGGCATTTTGAAAAAGCATTTAAAAGATAAAAAAACGCTGCTAAGACTATCAAAATGTTGATCTAATAACAATTTATACTACGCTTATACTATAACGCGAAAAGCAACTTTTTTCCAAAGCCTACCATGACTTCACTGAATCATAGTTTCTTGTTCACTATTATTAATATCTTAATTATTAGATATTAATACATCTGGTATTACGGTATTCTGGTATTTCGTCGATTTTAAAATAAACTAACTGTTTCTATCTTATTTTTTTTTAATGGACCTAATCAAGGGGGGTACTGATGCTGTATTGTAAAAATAAGGTTATTAAGGGCTTATTTTTTGGTATTTATTATAATATTGCTAATATCTTCGGTTTGAAAGAAGATATCAAGATGCGGTTTTCGCTGACTTTTTAAGCTTTTACTACTCTTTACTACCAGCTAAAATAGCACATACTATCGTATTTAATTTTTTTGAAAAAACGCGCCATGTTTGTTAAATTGTAAGAAAGCGCCCCCTAGCGTCTACGTTCAAAACCTTATTAATATTGTGGTATAATATAGAGTAAGAAACGCTCTTTTAAACGAGCTCTCGTTTGTTGGATTCTGATCATCCAGTCCGGAGTTATTAACATTTAAATAAAAATAGATCTAACCTTCCCCACCACTTTATTTTAGCAGATATGGCAAAATGCTTCTAACAAAAAAAAATCCAAAATTTACTGAAGATTATGAAGCTATTATTTATAGTACCCATTATGTAGGCAAAATTCTGTAAAAAATCTATTTTCTTATTTTCCATAGCAGTTGCGGCCGTTTTACAAACTTGAAAATAATTTCCAGCAATTTCTCATAGCCCCTTTAGTTATAAATATTTTTTGCCGTAAGCTAATACTTGCCAAGATACAGCCGAGAGCTATTCTTACTGGGACACCCGGTACAGTAAGTTTTTCTTTATATTATTTGTCTGACATATAGCATAAAAATATTTTTGTTATTACTTATTGACCGTTTCAGGAGGAAGCCCCATCCAGACCAACTCATGACGTTGACCTACAACAATCAGAAATGTTTAGACCTAGGAACGCCTCCTAGACTTTGTTATCCCCTAGTAATTTTTCTAATACGTAATGACATAGATGAAAACGTCCATCCAGATGAAACCGTAAGTAGATCGATGATTTCATGTAACTAATCGATTATGTACTATATGGTACTATGTACTGTGCTATTTGTTCCTACTGGATTTCTTATGCTTGTTTATTTTATCTTTCAGGTGGCTCTCATCAATGTTGTGCACATAAAAGATTCAGTATGTACGCTGCCCACGAGTATTCTGGGCCAATATCTCAAGCAAGCCAATGGTCAGTTATCTTGTCTAAAGGTAAATGTTATGAACAATAAAAACGATTATCTACATCTAATAAAAATTAATAAATAATATAATTTCCTCTTGTGAAGGTTAAATAACATGGTTCAGTAAATGTATCAATCCGCACTGTTGAGATGAGAAATATAAACAATTAATCAATATTAAATTTAATGATACGAGTGTATTACTTTAATCAAAGCAACAAGAACAGGTTTGAATGCATTCATACATATAAATATGTTCCTATTAATACCGTATGATCGAATAAAAACGGTGTCAGCGATGGCTATAAAATTAAGAGCGCTGTCATTTTATACAGGGGCGCTATTCTGTACAATCGTCGGTATCGGCAAGTTACCGACAGCTATCGGTACGTACGGCCAATGAGCGTCGTGTTGATTGTTGTTGTCATAGTTACCGATCGGCCCTATGACAGATATCGCAAATTTGTACCGACGACTCTCGGTATCTCTACCGTGAGGTTGACAAGGGCACGGTAGAGATACCGATTTTCGTCGGTACAAATTTGCGATATCTGCCATAGGACCGATCGGTAACTATGACAACAACAATTAACACATTTTTACTATATACAAATACGTATCGAGAGCTGTCGTAACTTACCGATACCGACGATTTTACAGAATAGCGCCCCAGGGTGAGTTTTCTATGATATTCTCATTGGGTATCTTGGTAACTGCTGGAGCTAAAAAGTCGGTTAAATGGCGAAAGAATTGCAGGTTTGTGAGGAAAACCCTATGCGCCTTTAGGATTTTTGAAAAGGTTTATAGCTTACTAGATATTTCGAAAAAATCAAATTTCGGCTATTTAAAAATAAGCTTAATAGATATTTCGAAAAAATCAAATTTCGGCTATTTAAAAATATTTCCTAATTCCATTATAATCTATTTTAGACAAAAAGTTCCATTCCATTAAAAAAATAAATTTTGTTTTTTTTAATGGAAATCATAGTTGGCTATGGCTTTATAAAAAGCGCCATTTTTAAGCTTTTCAACGATATAAGCTATAATATGTTTTTTTTGAAAAATTACTGAGTTACAGCAAGGTTACAGCCAATTCTTTTCTTTTTTAAACAATTTCACTTAGTTAGCTATGGAATCAACTAAAATCGTCGTCGTTGTTCTGAGAGATGCCAAACTGTCATATCCAGACAAAAATATTTTATCGAGACGCAACTAAATTGTAAATATGAATTTTTCAAATGAAGAAAAGCGTATAGGATTATTGGTGACTATGTAGCTGACTAATATGTTGACTGGTGACATTTGACTGAAATGACAAATTTGTGTGTGTTAACTTTTTATTTTTTCCAGCTAATCATAAATTTTTCTAGAAAAATACAATAAAATACCCTCTGTTGAATCTTTGCTACAAAAACATTTTAAATTTATTAGTTCAGACTAATAGATATTAGTTAACGTGTGAGCGTATAATTTTTGTCAATGTACCTATTATTTTTTTGTGTGATGTATAATTTTTGTCAATTATGGTAGGTATGTATTGACTATTTAGATTTTAAATATCTTGAGAACCACTCGTAGCGATTTTTACCAAGAGACCCTTTTTACGTAAAAAATGACGGAAACGTATATTTTTATATATACAGGGTGGCGCACCTCATTCGCCTTGGTTGATTATACGAAAACGGAAAGATGTAGAAACAAAATATTTTATGGGTATATGTGGGGAGGCAATATGCACAATTTAAAATTATTTTGAAATGTACAGGGTACAGAACTAAGATCCATACCAAAATTATATTTTTTCTTATGGAACATCCGGTATTTTATTTCATTTTTGGATTCTTGGACCCAAAAAAAGGCATTTATTTTAAGGGTTAGATATGTTTAAAATCTTTGGTTTATGAGATATTTAAAGATATTTAAATATGCATGTTAGAAGAGAATAGATTATTAACACCCTGTACATTACTTTTCAGAATTAATTCTTGTGCTGAGTTTAAAGGTAAAGAAATAAACTTTACTGAAAAATGTTATTGCTTCCTTAAATTTATACGGGGTACCAACAATTGGTGATCTATTTTAAGGATATATTTTACATAAAAACTTTGTTATTCCAAATGCAACACCCTGTATTTTTTTAAATAAATCGAAGCAGATTCAAATGCTCTTTCAAACTGTATTTATTTATCTCAGATTTTGAATAAAAAGCGATTGGCTAAAATTGCAATCAAGATGGCTTGTATCGCCATGGCAATTTTCTAGTGACAGTAACTATTTTCAAAATCGAAATTAGTCTATAGATTTTATTTAAATTTATACCAGTTTACTTTTATTTAAATTACCTACAATAGCTTAATAAATAATATTTATTAATATGTATTTATTATTCAAACAAGAAAAACGAAGAAGTGGTTCTTTGTTTTATTTTACGATAACTTGTAGATATATGGATTTTCTATAAAAGAGCCAATTACGGCAAATTCAATTTCTTCACTTCCAACGACAGGTTTCTGCCTAATAGGTTTTTTATAACTACACTACCAACTCTGTGAAATAGGAAATAGGCCAAGTAGTTTTTCAAAGGAACACTTATCAGGAAGATTCCTATCTGGATATCTTTGAGCATAAGCTCTTGAGGCCAAGAAAATAATTTTCCTCACAAAATAAAATCACTAGTAACATATCCATTCGTTCCGCCAGCAGATACGGCTTTATTTTTCTTCGTAAAATAAAGAATACTTACTTATTATCTTATTAAACTATTGTGGGTAAATTTTAGTAAACTGTTTAAATAATAATGTCCATAAACTAATGTCGATTTTGAAAATAGTTACTAACTGTCACTAGAAAATTGCCATGGTGATACCAGCCACCTTGATTGCCATTTTATTTAAAATCGCTTTTTATTAAAAATCTGAGATAGATAGGTATAGGAATCCTTAATATAGTTTGAAAGAGTATTTGAATCTGTTTCGATTTGTTTAAAAAAATACAGGGTGTTGCATTTGAAATAACAAAGTTTTTATGTGAAATAAATCCTTAAAATAGATCACCAATTTTTGGTACCCCTGTATAAATTTAAGGAAGCAATAACATTTTTCAGTAAAGTTTATTTCTTTACCTTTAACCTCAGCACAAGAATTAATTCTATAAAGTAATGTACAGGGTGTTAATAATCAATTCTTTTGTAGCATGCATATTCAAATATCTTTAAATATCTCAAAAACCAAAGATTTTAAACATATTCAACCCTTATAATAAAAGCCTTTTTTGGGCCCAAGAATCCAAAAATGAAATAAAATACCGGGTGTTCCATAAGAAAAAATATAACTTTGGTATGGATCTTAGTTCTGAGACACCCTGTATATTTGAAAATAATTTTCAATTGTGCACATTGCCTCCCCACATATACCCATAAAATATTTTATTTCTACATCTTTCCGTTTTCTTATAATCAACCGAGGCGAATGAGGTGCGCCACCCTGTATATATATATAGATAGGTACTCACTAGTATAATACAGGTACGAACGAAAAGTTATTCCTCTGCAAAACAGTTAAAAAATATGTGCGCCCCCTACAAGTAGGAGTCATACTGACATCAAAATCAAATTTCTTATCTTATGTCAAAAAACATTCAGGCACCTATTTTCATTTGAATATCGGCTTTAGCTCAGAAAAGCTTTCAAAAAAAATCTCTGTTGGCTCTTTTCACCGAACCCTGACTTTGACATTCAGTTTTAAAATCCGGACATTCAAGGCAATGAAATTCGTATTAAAACCAAAAAAAAAACGAAAATTACAAAAAAAAGGTTGAAATCATATTGACAATATTGGCATTGAAATCCAAATTCCTTATATGAAAAAACACCCACACATCAATTTTTATCCAAATATTGGCTATAATTCCGAAATTGCTTGGTAAAAACCGATATAAAAATGAAACTTGTATACCCTGTATCTCCGAAACGAAGCATTTTTGGACATAAAATTTATATGAACATTTTTACTTATTTTTAACTGCAAAATATTCTGCCGAAGTTTCTCTAATACAATTTAGACCACCCTGTATACTGTAAACTTATAAATATACAAATTTAATAAGCAGAGTGTAGGAGGTAGGAGGTATCAGCATTGCTAGGCTTCGATACGCACCGCCATCGCCATGAAGTTCCAGGAGAATAAACATGCCTTGAAAAAGTAGTGCCTTTTTTGTTCCTGAAAATATGAAGAAAAATGCAATATTTTCAACAATTTTATTTGCAATAAATCCTCATAGGCGTATGGTCGAAATGTTCTACCAGTTAAAACCACTTCCATTTATTTAAGCACATTATTTTATTATTTTTATTTTATTTAATTATTATTTGTTCCTTCCTCTATCTCATAAAAACAGTACACAAAAATTGTTTTTCATTGATACCTGTCAGTGATTTTCTTGAAACCTAAATTTATAATTCCGGAATTCCTAATAAAATCTCTTGTTAATTGAGGAAGTTATCAAGGTGACCATCCAAACCGCATTTTACATCTCGGTAACAAACATTTTAAATCTAAGATACGTACGTCAATATAAAACAGATTTTGTATTTTTGAGTCTTTGTTGCAGCAACTGTATTTGGCTACAGGAAATTCAGGCAACTATGAAGGTCAGCTGCCGCTCGCCGTCGCAGAGCCTGTGGAAGGAGGACCCAGTTCCGTAGGTTCCTTTTGTCCGAATAATGAAGATTCCACATTTTGGAACAGTTCGGGGGAGCAGCTGTGCGTGGTGTGTCAGACTTATCCCCTATCCAGAGCACTCTTGCCTTGCAGGTTAGAAAGAACTATTTCTTAAAACGTTACTACTATTTTAAATATAAAAATTTGAAAATTATAAATATGAAATTTTCTTGGATCTAGGCGATTTTAAAATTAGTTGCATAGAATTTCATTTAGAGTACAGGGTCCGGCAACAGTGTGTCGGGCATCTGTAGCTTCTATAATAAAAAAAGTTAGGAATTTTGTTTAAGTGCAAACCCAAACTATGTATTAGGATTCAGGGAAATATTTTAACTTCTACAGGGTGGCTCAAAAAAGTGTCAGCGGGTCGGGATGATTTTTTTTAAATGACACCCTGTATATTATTGCATTTTTGGCTTCTTTGATCATTTTACGTAATCCTAAGATATTATTAAATATATTTTGATAGTTTCAAAGATATTAATAAATAAATAAGAAAACATATTTTTTTCAGCCTTTTTAAAAAAAATATTAAAAATACAAGAAATGTCTTCTTCAAAACTATATTAGGTATTTACTGTAGTGGGTCTGTACTTACTTTGGTACAAATATCATAATCCTAAACCATACAGGGTGTTCAAAATTGTATGCCACACTTTCTAAAATATAAAATAATTTGTATAAACCTTGTATATTATTTCTCTGCTAGATGGAAAATGAAAAAATAAACATTTTTGTATTTAAAGTATGCCAAAATTTTGAACGGGTTTTCGGATATTCGTGGTATTATACCGTATGATCGAAAAAAAACGGCGTCCAGTTGGCTGGGAAATGACGATCGATGACATTTTCCCATATAAATTTACATATAAAAAGACAGCGATCTTCATTTCATAGCCATCGCTGACGCCGTTTTTATTCGATCATACGGTATTACATAATATGAGGTTTTCAACAGTATTTTTTTTTCAAAGCCACCTAATGCTTTTTGTCTAGTATTTTACCGTTGAAAGATCCATAATGGTAATAAAACCGCGAAAATTTGCAAAACTGCTAAAAATTTTGAAATACAAAAAATGTTCATTGTTTAATCCTCCTTCTAACAAAGAAATAATATACAGGGTGTTCCAGTTGAAAAAAAAACGAAGATAAATTATCTTATATTTTACAAAGTTTGGCATAGAATTTTGAACAACCCGTATGGTTTAAGGTTACGATATTTATCGCAAAACAAGTACTAAGACCAACTATGGTAAATACCTAATATAGTTTTAATTTCGGGACATTTCTTGTATATTTAATAATCTTTTAAAAAAAGGATGAACATTTTTTTTATTCATTTACTAATATCTTCGAAACTATCAAAACATGTTTAATAAAATCATAGGATTATGTAAAGTGATCAAAAAGGAAGCCAATAATGCAATTATATACACGGTGTTCTATTTTAAAAAAATTATCCCAATAAAAAACTCACTTTTTTTAGCCTTCCTGAAGAAGTTAAATATTTTTCTGAAATACATTCTAATATACACTTTAGGTTTGCACATAACAAGGTTCCTAACTTTTGTATTATGGAGCTAGATGCCCGACGCACTAATAGCGGACCCTGTATACAGTATGTCCCTGGATCGCCATTGCAAGAGGAAACACTTTTTTTATTATTAAAATAAAACGCCTTTCTATGATAGTAATATCATTTTTAGGTTTTCATTTGATAAATGGTTATTATTAATTTTGATTAATGTCATATTTTTTGCTGTTTTATTATGTTACGGATTACAATGTTACGGAAACGGTTTACATTATGGTTATACATTTTGTACCTCTTTAATATTTTAAGATAGATATTGGACGTTAATCCGAATAAATTATATCCATCTACCAAAGAATGAAAACAAAATTATATTATCATAGAACGCGTTTAGATTTTTGGGATTTCCAACTTTTATGAAAATTCAACTATTTTTTTTTATTTTTATTTACACTAGATTGAGGCATTGATGACATTAGGCACTCAAGATTCAAATTTAAAATGCTAATACTGTCATTTGCGTCGGTGGCTAAAATTTTAAATATCATGCTATATTTGACGAGCTGTTTGTTTTTAGAAATAATTATATTTATGCCTTATAGACACACCTGTATCTGTGCCAGTTGTTTCAACAAGTTGGAAAGATGTCCAATGTGCAGGGGTCCTATCAAGAGCTACTTTTGCATCAGGGGTGAAGAATATATGAACACAAAAGATACGGCTCCAAAAAACGATGAAGTGCCACCGACTAGGCGTCGGTGGTATCAAGCAGTGCAGCATTGGGACGATCGACTCATCGATTTTCTCGGATTTTCCAGATGAAAATCTCTAGTGACTTGTTTTTTTTTGTCTAAATAATTCCGCCATTTGTGGATATTCGGGTTCTGAGGGAGGTCAGATAGGTACATACAACCAAAATACTGACGTGACGTCATATATGACAGACAGACTTTCTGTGGCAGCATATATTTAAAATAACTATTTTTCCTCCTATTTTTTATTACTTCTCGTGATAGTTTCCTAGTTTTGACTTATTTATATATATTTTAAATATTATTAGTTATACAGGGTGTTTCAAAACAAGTACGAACACGTTTAAGAGGCGGTGCCCTGTTAAAAATAAAGATTGGTGGTTTATTATAAACATGTTGGGCCAGAAGTCAACCATTAGGTACATATTGCGATACAAGATGGCGAAAAATATTTTTTTTTAATTTTTGTTTAAAAACATAAAGCAATTTAATATTGAAATATATGTGGTATATTACTACTACGAAAACACACTATCTGGATATTTTTTCACCTATTTTAAAATGAGCGGAATGGGTTGAAATCAGGGTTGGCATGATTTAAATCAAATGATTTAAATCATGATTTAAATCGTGATTTAAATCAAGTGATTTTTTAAATTTTAATCATGTGATTTAAATCAAAAAAATATTTATATTGAAACTTTATATTAAATCAAAAAATAACTGTAAAAGTTATAAAAATGTGTCTTAGAAAACTAGAAAAAATATTTCTATAACAGATATAACAGATAATAAATCGAAAAATAATTGTAAATGTTATAAAAATATATAAAAATATCTATTCATCAATGTTGGACCGATTTTTGAAGTAATTTCGTGTGAATCCATTAGACTGCTAAACACAGGGATTTATTTTAAAATTTATGTATAAGTGACAAGAATTCGCTGTTCGAATACATATCATTCGCAAAGTCTAGTGCAGAACTATATAGGTTCTTCTGATATAGAGACAATTTTTATTACCGAGAATCTATAATCGTTGTCACAAAAAATGTTGATTTTTTTTGAAGCGGTTGAATGGTTTCCAAATTCTTACCGACATTTTGATCTGCAGTAAGTACTTTATACTTTGGCATTAGATATAATACATACTAATTTCATTTTCGACTTGACTATTTCCGAACAATAGTGTATTGTTTTATTAGGAGTAAAAATTATACTTTTTTGACGATGCTGTACCTGTGAAGGACCCTTCCAACGTTACAGGGAGGCACAAAAATTACATTTTTACTCCGAATAGAACATACTATTTATTTAAAACATTACAAATAATTTTCTAATCAATTTCAAACATTGCAAATAATATGAACAGTAATCAAGCAACAATTTTGTACACTCCTTGAATTTTACATTTAATATCAGTTTAATAGTATATTTTTGTACTTTTGTGCTTAGGCGTAACAGTGCTTTTCTTTTATGCCTAGGCGTTAAAATGACAAAAGTTAATATTTTTGAGATGTTTGAAAAAAAATCCTTTTGATCTGAAGTTAGCGACTTTTTTTGTAGAATAAATTAGTGACCGATGTGGAAAAATTACACGCGCCGTAGATTTGTTAATGTTATCGGTATTGGGCAGAGTTATAAAGATTTAGCCATTTAGGATAGGACTTTAATTGGAAATAAGTTCTAGTCATTTGGAAATCAGATTTAAATATTGATTTGAATTAAAATCATAAAAATCTGATTTAAATCAAAAAAATCTTTTTTTTTATTTTTTTTTTTAAAATCATGATTTTTTCCAACCCTGGTTGAAATAGACCACCCGAATTATTCTTGGCAACTAAACACTAAATTTCTTCAACGACCTGGAAAAATACATTTTGATAGCTTAGTATATTTAGAATCTTTTCATTTTCCCCCAATTTGTCGGGTAAGCGTTTTTTCAAAATTAATTTAACATAATAATAGGGGTGGTTTTTGTCATCCTATCCCAACTACCTTAAAAAGGTAAAAAAATATGCAGATAATGTATTTGAACTACGGTCATATTTCTATAAAATATTCCTATTAAATATTAATAATGTACCTACCGCCATTCTTTTTTAAGATAAGTATTGGTATCCAGATGTGCAATTTTCAGCATAATTTTGACATGAACAAATTTTTCTTTACGTATAGAATTACTAATCAACTACAACAGTATTGTCTTGGGTATGAAGATAATATGATCTCGTTTTTTAATTATAAATAGTTAAGTGAATGTCAGATATTAAAAGAAATAGTTAGAAATGTGTATGACTCAAAAAGAACCCAATATCACAAATATGTCCAATTAATACTAAAATACGAGCAGATGAAAAACTCTTGAAATAAAAAGTATTAAGTGTAAAAAAGTACAGCCCTTTATAAATCTTAGAAAATCTAATATTTTTTGGTTTATGTTTAGATATTTCTTAAACCTTTGAATTTCAGAATTCTGAATCAATGAATTCCAGGTCTTGTACAACTAGCCTTTAAAAATAATAATTTATTGTATACGGCTTAGTTCAGAATAATGTAGATAATATAGCCATTTCATTTTCTTTTTAGTATTTAATAAAAAAATTCTATATATTTTGATAACTACTGATCAGTATGTGAATAAGTATTTTTCTTTAGCAATATTTTGAATTTCATTAGCAGTTTTAAGATTGCAGAAAAATCTAGCTATATATTTTATTAATGCAAAAATAATCCGTATTAAATAATATATTGTATTTTGAAAAGTGTTCTAGATATTATTGAACATAAATTCATATATATTTTATTGTTATGTATCCTAGATTTGTAACATTTCCTGTGACAGTCACAGACTGTGTAATGTACATAATTCTGTTTTTAAAATCCGACATCACATTATATTTTTTGTGATAATATAGTATTCGATTTTAATCGGTTTTTGGTTCCTCAACTCACACAACAAATTTTTGGATTAGTTGAAAAATATCGATAAAAAATCTACACAAATAATGATATAGAGGATATCGCGAATAATGTGGACCAAATAATTAAAACAGTATCAGTTATTTCATGAATATAAAAATATATGTATTTTCTATTTTTGTTATTTTTAACTTTATTTAAGAATAGTACACTCCGAGAGAACCCTAAAATGGACTTGTCCACATAATTCAAGACGCCCTGTATATTGTCCCTTACGTAGACATCACGCAAAACACCATTGAACGTATATTATCATTTATACCTTTTTTCCAAGTTAATGTGTCTAAATGAAAATTATATTTATTTTTCTGCTGTACTTAAATTACCGTACCTATGATTATTTGCTTTGAATTGAATTGGGAAAACCTCATAAAAACTGTAGAACATTAAAATGACTCATCTCACTTAAACAAAGAGGTGTTTTAGTATTATTTGTGTATAATGCGTTTTATATATAATGTAACTAGAACAAAGGTATGTACGCGTGTCTATGTTGACGTTTTTCTCGTAAATTAACTGTTTCCAAATATAAGACGGCTTAGTCACAGGTTTTCTGAATAATTACAGTCTAATTGGTAACGGTATTATTTTGTTTCTATTGAAAAGATTATTGACATTTTTGAAAAATTTTGTTAAAAGTTTGGTAACATTTATTTTCTTTAATATGATTGTGTATTTAATTTATTTTTTGTATGTATATTTTCGAGTTTGATGTTAATCATTTGGTGATCCCATGGGACATTCTGATAGCGTGTCCCGTTTTAGAAAATATAACTTCAGTAGTAACTTTTCGTAAACAGACGACGCCACTGGATTCTACGTAAAAAGTTCTACAATAAACAGTCTTAATTCTACAATAAACTTCTCGATACCTTTCACAATAACAGAGATACGGGGAGTGTCCCAAATTACAAAATATTCAAAAAGACCCTGTAGCTCAGAAACGAAGAGAGCTATAAACGTTTTGTTTACTGCATCTCCCGTTTAACAAAAAAGTGGGATAGGTTTGTGCAAATCGCACCCATCTATCTTCACTAATAACGGAGTACTGTACACCCTGTACAGCGCCACTGATTGGCTCATTCTATTTTTTGCATTAATTTCTGTTTCACAAGGTTGTTTTTTTTTCGGTTTAAATTTGTTTTTAAGAAAACAAATAAAATTTAGAATATTTCCATTTGGTAGAACTCTGTGTAGGTAAAGTACGTCTACTGGATCTGTGTCTATGAAAGGAATGTGTACAAAAAACATTTAAATAAATAGCAATATATTTTATAAATCGCTATCTAAATAGAAACTAGAGAGGGTTCACGTGGGCTTGACGAGTATGTCACCGCAAAACACTCCGCCCACTCATTTCATTGGCTACTGGCAAATTTGTCGAATTTTTATTGATGGGACCCGTCGTCTAATTTTTTACGAGAAACATCGAAAGAATATTATTTCCCCCCGTACGGATGCCCCGTAGCTACAGGACGGATAGACGTACTGTAACATTACTTTGTATTATATACAATTTAGATTTATATTAGTATCTCATTACTGTATAAGACCCCGTACACACTCAGCGTCTTTTGTCGACTTGACTTCGTTTCGACAATCCAGCCTAAACGTTCATTCGGCAAATGATGTCTTGTCGAAATTTGTCGATATATCTGTCGACAATTATTGTCTCGACACATACACGCGGTCATTTGATCCTATTCTAATCTTCATAAAAACCAAACTTCGCGGCGCGTCTCTTTGTATGAACGGTAGATCAAAATATAGCAGTATTTTTGCATATTATGGGATAATAGGTTAAGGCAGCGTCCGCGCCGTTTGTGTGCCGTCGCCGTTGATAAAATCCATTCCTTCATTTATAATATACAATAGTTTGTATATTATTGCGTTAAATATTTTTGCGTTATAATAAAATTAGACATTTTATTAGTACTAGCTACTAGTTTTAAAAGTTCTGATATTAATACCTATGTCAACATGTAGATGTAAATAGATTTCTGCAATTTGCTTCAGTTCACTCGTTAAAATAAAAGTTATAATAATAATATAATCAAAGTTTAACTGTATTTTCTTAACATATATTTATATTTGTTTCTGTAGAACAAAGTATTGTTTAGGATCATTTTTGTCTAGTATAGAGATTTGTATATAACTATGCCTGTGATAATAAATTATATACATATTGAAAAGTCTTTTATTATAACCTAACTTTTGAAATGATAAAAGTAGTATTTCCGGAATTACTGACGTCCTATTTTTTTTAAAAAATCCCTCAAGATAGTTTTTTTTAATTAAAATATCTTCTTAATATATAACTATTTATTTAATAATAAATATAACATAATTATTTGAAATTTGTGTAATAAATACTGACCTGTACAATGTATAAAACTTTGTACACTTAATTATTTAATAAACATTATATTTACAAATATACGTCATTCTTAAAGGGATATAGACAATTCAAAAAATATAACCAGTAACAGATATATACAGTAGGTGTTACGAAAACCAATCTGTAGTTAAATTACCAAATAAGGAAGCTGCTCCTTGACGCACAACGGATGTGGCATCTTGCGATCTTTTTGGTGTTGACTTTTTTTGTTTTGAGTCTTTTTCCTAAAAAGTAGATCATTTAGAAGCTGTGATCAGACAAATATCTACAGTATCTCCCCGGATTGTCTTTACAAGAGGAAAAATTTTAGTATTGACATTTTGAGAAAAATGCATTCTTTTCATGTTAATCCCGTTTATACTTTTCCAAATTTCCATACCGTTTCAGAGGAAAGGGCGATAATAGTTATCGGAAAATGTGATACTTTAACAAAAAAATATGACGTTAATCAAAATTTATTATAACGATCTATCATCATATGTATCAATACAGTGTGTTGCATACAAGAAACTTTATTTTATATAAGGACATGTATGAAATACCGTATGATCGAAAAAAAAACGGCGCCCAGTTGGCTGGGAAATGAACATCGATGACATTTCCCATATAAATTTACATATAAATTGACAGCGATCTTCATTCCATAGCCATCGCTGACGCCGTTTTTTCTCGATCATACGGTACCTATGAAACATTGGAAACGGCGTTGATCCACGATGGTTTTTGCAGTTCACAGCACAGCTTTTTAAGTTTTTAATGCCACTTTCTCACGATTATCTCGGGTTTGAGTAAATAAAATTTAATTTAAACTCACAAGATAGCAATAATTACTTTGAAAATGGACGCTTTAAACACTTTTCGGTATATTTTCAATGAGAGCGGTTTAAATTTTGAAAGATTTTATAATTTTTGAAGATTCTGACTTTGACAACAGAAAATTATTTCTCTTTTTGTTTGCGGTTGTTCTGCGGTTGTTCTTAGCAACATGTTAGCAACCGCTATAGCAGCGTCGATCGCGTACAACGGTCGCGACCCAAAACAATTATATACGAGTATTTTGATGGGCATTCAAATCAAATTTTATTTCCTTTATTTATGCGATCTATCAAAGAATGAAATCGAAATTATATTACCATAGCCTTTTATTTTTTTGGGAGAAAAATTCAAATACATTTTCGTGTTTTTCTTAATTTTCTCTTAAACGGTATGGATATTTGAAAAAGTATAAACGGGATTAACCATTTCAGAAAAAGCAAATATTTTTATGACGAATGCATTTTTCTCAAAATGTCAATAATAAAATAGTTTTCCCCTTGTAAAGGCAATCTGGGGACATACTTTATATAATTATAATTAAATACAATATAATCAATAACATGTTAAAATTTACTGGAAAACAGCTATGAATGGATAATTAATTATTAGTATGACCTACAAAGTGTTCTTTACTTAAATTGATAGCAGCGAAAGAAAGTTGTACATATAAGTAAGGTATATCCAGCGAGGGAATATACAGCGTGTCCCAGAAATAAGTGCAAGTATTTTAACTGGTAGTATAGTTCAACCCCAGAAACAGGCCTATGAGTTTTTTTTCGCGAAAAAAAATTTTGAAAATTCAGAATTTTTTGAAAAAATTTTTTGGAAAGCTTTTAGTCAAAAAAACTAGTTACATAAATAGCTATTATGTGATTTTGTGACAAATTTCGAATGACAAAATAAAACAACCAAATAACGAATTTAGACATTTTAGTCCATAAAGGTTGCCATGACGACCTTTACGGCCTAGGCCGAAAAAGAAACATTTTACGGACTGAAATGAGTCCGTAAAATAGCTGTTTTTGGGAGCGTATGACAAAAAATATTTTTTTTTGGAAATTTTCAAGTAAAATTAACTCCGTTATTTTGGGCTTATTTGAAAAACGATACAGAGAAAATATGTTTCTTTTATCGAGATCTACCACCCCTTAAAATACTTGCACTTATTTCTGGGACACCCTGTATAAATATGAACATCTAACAAATGAAAAAATAGAGTACGTTCGAAATTAAATGACATATAATTCTTATTTTAATAGTCTTCCACTGAACATACTACAATAAGGTATTTTATTATTCTAGATGTTTCAGCCAATTATACTTTAATTTATACCACTTTTTTTTTCACTGTAATTTATGTATATGTTACAGTAAAAGTCGGAAATCAGTGTTGTTATCAATTACTATAGTAAAAGCTGACATTCACTGATTTGCCTAAGACTACGCCAGTAAAAGTTCAACAGCTATCTTTGAAACCAACTTTTACTAGTGAATGCTAGCATTCCCTGGAGGATAAAATTGCAGTGAGTTTGGAATTCAGTTTGCGCGGTTGCCACGCGTTGTAAAATATAAGGATAAATAAGGATAAGTAGAATAATATGCAACATAAGGATAACGTTAAATTGGGTTAAACAGTGACAACGTTGACAGACATCTGGCGTAAATTCGCTTTTTTTGTGGTTATGTATAATTGTTTTGTTAAGTATCGTCGTAAAAAGTGCTGTGCGATATTTTCCCTAAATGGAGGAAACTTTCTGTGAAAAATTAATGCAAAATAGGTCCTCGCAAAAATGTAATAGTGCTTGTTTTTCATTTTATATGTAAATTATGTATAATATATGTAATATGTAAATTGTAATTTAAAGATATGTGGATCAGCTTGAATATTGAGGTGATCCAGTAAGTATTCTTAAAAAATATTTGTTCTAACTTTCACCAACTCTTCCTCACCACTCTCACCCTGCACAATAGAATAACTTTTACTGGCAACCTTTAGTAAATGTTACTTTCACTAGTGAATGTTAGAAACTATTAGTAAAAGTCGACAAATTTCTTTAAAATACGACATTCACTGGTCCAGTGCGTAATTGTTAGCATTTCCTAGTGAATGTTAACAATCACTCAATTTCCGACTTTCACTGTAACATATACAAATATTTAAAGAAATTAATAAAATATTAGTATGCTTCTTTACGCCAGTTCAAACAAAAAAAAACACAAATTTTATGTTAGAATATAGCGAGACATTTGAACTACTATTACCTTTCTTGATACACCGTATAAAAAGATCATCATTTATATTGATTTAATTATCATCCACAATGACGAACCTCTGTGATAAAATCATTGTAATAAAATTTTAATAAAAATATATGGATATCAGAAATATATAGGTATTCACCTTAGGACTGGGTTTAGATGTTAAACTTTCTGGCAATTTTTGGGATGGCACTGTAATGGGCAGCAATGGGAACCAGGTGCTTGTAGATGGCGTGCTTAAGGCCATTAATGACGGACTTACTTCCGATTCTTTACCTTTGGTATAGGCGCCAAGGTTAATTAGCTGGCTGCTAGATGGCAGAAGACATCCAAATAAAGTCTAAAAATATAAACAATATTAGATATTAATATAGTCTCGGAGTACCTTAGCTATACAGAAGCGACATTTATTCACTTTGTTGACGTTGAAATTTATTGACATTAAATTTCACAAAAAATACAATTTAAAATAAATTATAAAGATGATTAGAAAGGATTAAAGCGGAAATATTAACCAAGGATGGGTATATAAACCTCTGTCCTTTTACATCTAATATATAAAATTCTCGTGTTCAAGTTTTTGTTACCATACTCCTCTGAAACGGCTTGACTGATTTTGATAAAATTTTATACAGATTGTTAACTGGACGGTTACTTATTGGGGAACAGAATGGCAACACTGCCTACATTCCAAATGAGTACTAAGCTAAGCTGCCGACTCGTCCCGTCGCGCGTCGTCCCGAGGTCCCGACGAGCGGGCCGAGGTTGTCATATTTCAACCATAAAGCTCTTGCCGCGAGTAATAAACAAATTAACAACCTGTATGTATATTCAGCCTGTATGTATATTCATTCATGCTTGATATTAAGCCCCTACTAATCAAAGTTCGACAACCGATATCATTAAAATTATAGCCTAAAAATATGGCATCCATATGAATATGTCCATAAATAAACTCGCTTAAAATCTACTATCACTAAAAAATTGCCCGTGTTGATTCTGTATGGTTAAGTACTTCTGTAACTAATATTCATTTAAAAAAATAAAGTAAAAATATTGTGCACGTTATTAAACTTTACCTGTGATTGAATAATAGATTTCTTGATATTATTTTGCAAATGTGAATAAAATACATCTAAATCAAATGGATCTATTTTACTTCTCAATGTATCACAGATATTTTGGCCGAAAGTGACAAGTTCAGTATTTTCCCTTGGAATGCAGAGTGTGGCAAGAAACCTTACATCTAACAAGGACTGTAAGGCTTGAACTTGGTTGAGGTTTAGTAACGAAATTTGCTCATATTCCTTCAATATCAATGCAACATGAGTTTCAATGAATTGTACATGTGCTGGTTTTGGTAAAGTATGAGATAAAACTTTACTCAAGTCTTTATTAAGTTTTACCAAAACATTGGTTAAAGGTACACTTGGTTTTAGAGGAATTTTGATTTGTGATTTGAACACTTTTTCTTCTGTTTGTTCTTGAATTTCTATATCATCCCATCTCTGTATTATAATAAAAATTTTAAATTTACATTATTATGTTATTTCCACTAAAACTTACTGATAAATTTTCAATCATACTCCTTGGACTAGTATTATTTAATAATTTTATTAAAGTTTCACTTTCTTTTACACAAATGTTAATCCAGTTTATCCATAACTTATGACTGGTTTTTGTAAAATTATCACAGACTTTTACCCAATCTGTAGCTACATTATTATATTCACAACATTTTTTAAAATTACTACACAGGCTACAACATGCCTGTAAAAATCTAGCAGCAAATATTGATTTTGTTACTAAATTTTCATTTGTCTCACTTGAAAGACATTCTTCAACAAATCTTGAAATACTATAATAAATATTATTAGTAAACTTTAATAATGATAGAAACATTTTACTTACTCAGTTGTTGTCTTTGTACATTCAATTCTTAAGTGATTTTCCAATTTCTCTTTGTCAGAATATTTTCTTTTAAACTTGAAATCGTTTATTAAGTATGGTATGCTTGACAGATCCTTCAATTCCACGCCATATAAATACTGTGAAACGTCTTCAAGTAATTCTAGATACATTTTGTCAATTTTTTCACATAGGTTTATAATTTCTGGTGAAAATCCTTTTGTTTTCATTTTTAATACTAAAAACAGGCTTATTATTATTTAAAAAAATTATACAGGGTGTCAAAAAAATAGTGTATCTAACTTCGGTGGATGATTTTAATGAATAAAGTATATAATTTGAATAAAACAAAAAGTCCATATAAAAGAACATATGCCCTAAAATGCTTCCCAAATAAATTACAGCCCTCGAAAGGTTAAATAGAAATAATATAAAGGGAAAGTAAAACAACTTTCGTTGCACGTCACAATGACACCATGCGTCGTCTTATGGCGTTTGCTGGTGGTCGTATTATGATGTGCAACCTATTTTGTTTATTTTTAAGAACATTGGTAAACCGTTTTTTTTTAAATTGGGTATTCTTACACACATTTTAATGCCGGAGCGAATGGCGATAGTGTAAAATTCCGTAACAGCCCTAAAAGGGTACTTTCCATTGGGGCAGGGAGTATTACTGATAGTACTTCTTTTACCTTTATAGAAAAAATAATTTCAACAAATGATATAAGAAGTTAGGACTTTTTTACGCAATAAAGTTACCCTTGGTTTAGTGCGAAATGATGAACGGTTTTCAAGATATTTGCGTTTAAAGGATATGATGTGTCGATTTTACTATTAGTGAAATCATAAGAATTTAAATTTAATTTATTTATAATTCCTGTACATTTAATCATTTCGCTAATACAGTAAAACCCCAGTTATCCGAGGTAACGTGGGGGACACCCTCCTCGGATAACTGAAAACTCGGATAATCCGAATTTATTAAAAAATAAGCACCAATACATACTTTAAACAGTTTATTAACATTACATAAGTACCTACATATGTAGATACTATCTACATTATAAAACAGTGAAATAAGTATCTATGCGCTGCTGTTTTATATTGCATCTTCTTTTTCTCGCTGCCATGTTTCTCCACCTGTTAAGAAGAAGCAAATCCGCTGGGGTGACATCTGATTTTTGTTCGATATACCTTAGAGCTGTTTCCAGAGAAGCAAAACCTTCTTGATGGGTAATCTTAGTGGAAGGCTGTTCATCCACCTCTTCGTCATAGTTATCGTTATCTGATTTTTCGGTTTCCCGAAAGGCGTTCGCTATTTCTTCAATATACATTTCTTCTTCTAAATCATCTGCTGTAACCCATTCATCAACGTCTTGTCTTGTCACATTTTCGCAACTTTTTAAGTTTTGCATTAATTCTAATAAACTTTATTCTTCTTCTGTATAAATTTGTACAGGACAGTTCTCCACGGCTTTTCCATTTCAAAGCCAATTCATTTAATGGAATACTTAATGGAATATCACCTTCACTGTCATTATAGTCCTCAATATCAATAACTTTCGACCAAGATTTTTGAATAGTGGAACCGCGTACAGAATCCCAAGCTTGGCTTTCCCGGTAAATAACATTTTTTAGTGTAATTTTTCTTATCCCAGTGATAATATCCTCTTCTTTTTATATGCATTCTAGTAGATGTTCAAGATATAAACGCATATAATTTTTTTTGTTTTCGAGGACGCCCTGATGCATTGGTTGCATTATGCTGGTTACAATTGGAGGAAAAAATTTTACAAGAATTTCGCCCACGTGGAGTCCTTCTCCAGGGTGAGAGGGAGCATTGTCCTTTAACAAAATTGATTTAACAGGGGGGCCGTTTCTCTTCGAAAATTTAGTCACAGATGGTACGAATTCTTCTTTAAACCAGTTAGTAAATAACGTCGCATCCATCCATGCACTCTTCTGACTTTTGTAATAAACTGGTAGGGCTTTGAGTGAGATGTCTTTTAACGCTCTTGGATGTGCAGACTTGCCAATCACCATAAGTGGAATTTTGTGCTTACCAGATGCATTGGAACATAATAATAATATTAGCTCCCGTATATAGCGTTTAACGCCTTGGGAGTAGCAAGGTACAGCTTGCCATACTAGAGCCGTTCAGTATACAAGAAAGGTAATGTGGCTAGCACTACGCTTCAACCGCCTATTATTACCTCAGGATTGTGAATCCCAAGTACTCATTTAAGGCTGAGTCGACCTAGGTACCCAAACTATTTTTATTTTAATAAAAATAGTCGGCTGATGAAATGCCGGGTGTGGGAATCGAACCCACTACCTTCAGATTGGTAGACGAGAGCCTGTATCTCTACGCCACCGGGCACCCGGTTAACATGCCATGGTTAATCTTTCCTTACTTCTTTTGTGTCCAGGAGCTGATTTTTCCTGTCGAGATGCCAATGTTTTTGATGGAAGCATTTTATAATTCAAACCACTTTCGTCACAGTTATAAATTTGATCACATGTATACCCACAATGTTTGATTAGCTTTTTAAAGTCCTGTTTAAATTTTTCAATTGATGACACATCAGCAGAAAGTTTTTCTCCACATATAGTCAGTTATCGTACACCGTACCGTTTTTTCCAGCGGTCAAGCCATCCATCCAGAACTGCCGGTAAACCTATCTGTTTCTGGAAGTTGCTTACTAATCATTATTGCTTTCTGCTGCAAAATGGGACTTGACAGAGGCACACCTTTTGATCTTTGCTGAGTAAACCAAGTGAATAAAGCTTCGTTAACTTTTTCATAGTCGCCTTTTTTCATTGATTTTCTTCTTGAAGACCAAGAGGCTTGTTTTATACACCATTCTTCTATTTTAGAGCGGTTTCTGTTCCAATCTCCAATTATGTTACAAATATCTCCAATCTCTGTTACCTCACCTACTCCATAATATCTCGTGCAACAATTTTAATTATTGTCTCTCCTGCATGAATTCTCCTAATGGCTTTTAATTTTTCTTCAATATGACAATTCTTTTAAGTTTGTTTCGTTCCATTATTGCTGCCGTGCCGCCGCACGGCAGCAGCACTTCAGAATCCCAATTCAGTGCATATGATAGGATATGTCCTGCTCCAGATGCGATAAAACGCTTTCGGCGGAAGAGGTTAAGGCGAAAATAATATGTGATTTCTGTAATGACGCCCATTGTATCCCATGCTCAGGACTATCCTCCTCGGAGACTCGGGTCACTCAACTGGCGAAAGGGCGTATTCTTTTATTCGCGTGCTCCCATTGTATAAGCATGGTGAAGATGAGAAGCCCCACAAGCACAAACAACCACATGGAACACCAGTTGGAAAAACTGCAGGCCCAACTCACGGCATCGGTCTTGTCATTAAAGGATGAAATTGCTAACGCTTACACCCAGAAGTTAGATGATCTGAAGGAAAACTTGACTAACAGATTGGAAGCATTTAAGGAGCTACTCAATACTCAGAAAGCCCATGCTATACAGCACTCCTTAACACCTAATGATCAGGGTAGGATTTCTGAAAGGAGTGAATGTATTCCGGTGAGTGCGGAAGCTGTTCGGGTCGCGGTGAGTGATGCACTTGGATCTCTCTACAGCTCCAAGCTTCGGGATCTCACGAAGCCTAATAGGGAGATTGGTTCTATGGGGGCCGTCCTCAGGAGATCTGGAAACGACGGATTGGAGGATTTTAGGGGAGAAGTAGGTAGGATGTGGCTATACATCGGGCGAGTAACCGAAAAATCCAATGAAGAGGCAGTTAAGAATTTTATAAAAAGGAAAATCAATATGAATGATAGTGATCTGGTTGTTCAGCAACTTCAAACGAAAGGAAAAACCAACTCATTTAAAATCGGAATAGAATCGAGCCATTATGAAACCCTCAACGATCCTAGATTCTGGCCTGCTCACATTGTTTTCAGAAGATACAACTTCCGTAAAGACGTGATAAAAAGTTCAAGGAATCCAAATCGCTGAATGATTATGGAGTTTTCTCTCATTTTCGATGGGAGTGTAAGGCCTTGGCTAGGGCATGCTACGAGAGATATATTGAAAACATACAAATTTCGATAAATAGTGACTCTAAGCAGTTTTGGAATTATGTTAATTCAAAAAGTAAGAACTCTGAATTGCCACATCTAATGTCTTACAATTCTGAAACCTCCTCCGATATCAGATTATTTTTCTGATCATTTTTCTTCGGTCTATAATAGTAATGTAACATGCCACACCTATGATTTTAATGTAAGCAACAGTGTAGTGATTGAGAGATGTGATGTTGAGGAAACTGATATATATATATATAATGCTATTTTTAGATTAAATAATCATTTATCTGCAGGGCCTGACAGGATTCCTGTGATGTTTTTAAAAAAATGTTGTTTCATAGTGTCTCACATTTTAAGTATTCTTTTTAAGCTATTTGTTGACAAAGGGGAATATCCGGACCAAGGGAAGGTGTCATATGTAACACCTGTTTTCAAAACTGGTAACCGATCTGAGATCACTAATTACAGAGCGATTTCTAGGAATTCCATACTTGCCAAAATCTTCGAATCAATTATTGACAGCAAAATCAAACCGGAATTTCAAAATATATTAACCGATTATCGGCATGGCTTTAGAAAAGGAAAATCTACAATTACAAATTTATTAGTCTATGAAAATGAATTAAAAACATCTCTAGAGAAGAAACAACAAATCGATGCTATTTACACAGATTTTTCTAAAGCATTCGATAGAGTCGATCATAATCTGCTGGTGGAGAAATTGGAGAGGTATGGAATTTGTGGAAATCTTCTGTCATGGTTTAAAAGTTATTTAATGGAACGAAGACAAATCGTTAAAATTAAAGGGTTCACTTCTAGGGAGGTTTTAGTCGAGTCCGGAGTTCCACAGGGGTCTCATTTATCTTCGCTGCTTTTCAATATATTTATTAATGATGTAACCGACTTTATTACACACTCTAAATTTTTGTTATACGCGGATGATCTCAAAATTTACAAGGTAATTCAGTCACTGGATGACTGCTTTAAGTTGCAAGAGGAATTGATTGGATTGAGTGAATGGTGTAGGTTGAATGGGATGTCATTAAATATATCAAAGTGTAAAGTAATGCTATTTTATGATTATAAGATTCAAGATGATATTTTAGATAAAACTGATGTGATGAAAGATCTAGGTGTATACTTTGTTAAGGATCTGAATTTCAATTATCATATTAACTTCATGACAAACAAAGCGTTAAAGATGTTGGGTTTTATTAAAAGAACGTTAACTGATTTTAATAACATAAACTGTATCAAAACTTTATATATTGCCTATGTGAGATCGATACTGGAATATGCTTGCCCAGTCTAGGGGGAAATATAATAAGATCTATGTGGAGCAGATAGAATGTATACAGAGAAAATTCTGAGGTTTGTGGGCTTTAAGATGGGAATCCCCGTGGAAGATATTGCAATTGAGGAAATAATGTATTCATTGAATTTGCTAAGTTTGGGAGATCGGAGAAAATTTATAGATATTTGCACACTTTTCAAGATTCTCAACTCTCAGATTGACTGTCCCAGCTTACTAAGCGAACTATCTTTGCATGTTCCAAGGAGAATTCTGCGTGGGTTCGGTCTGTTCCATATACCTTTTCACAGAACTAATTATGGAATGTCATCTGCGCTTACAAGATTTTGTGTAGAGGCTAATCAGATTATTGATAAAGATTGTGATATCGACTTCTTCTGTAATAATATAAATAGTTTCAAGAATAAAGTAAAGGCGGTGGTTTTGTAGTAATTTATTGTAAAGTTTCTGTTGTGATGGATTTACCTCGGATAATCAGGGTCTTTAGATTGGATCGGTTAATCCGGAGCTCGGATAATTGGGGTTCTACTGTATTAAAATTGACACATCCTAACCTTTAAATGCAAATATCTTGAAAACCGTTTACCGTTTCGAACTAAATGAAGAGCACCTTTTTACATAAAAAAAGTCCTAGGTTTTTATGTCATTTGTTGAAATTACTGTATCTATAAGGATATGTATTTTAGGGCATACTATGTTCATAGGAACATTTTGTTTTATTTTTATCTATAGAACCACCACCCACTGAAGTTAGATACACTATTTTTTGACACCTGGTATATTTTTTACACAAATTACCTCTATTTTCATCACCAATTTTACCAATATCAGAACTATCATCATGCCAAACATACGACCTTAAATCTAACTCTGATTTACCACTTTGTGTGATATTTTTCAGTGTCTCTTCTATGCTTTTCTTCATACCATAAATATTATTTTCTACTATTTTAGATAATAATACTTCAGCTCTCTGAGTTACAATGTGTTGAAAAAAATTGTACCAAATATCAAAATAATCAGGTAAATTTAGATCATCACATATTTTACTCCACGCAGTAGGGAGTTCTGAAAATATAATATTCAAATTTATTCTTATTCTTACAGATACCTATATAGAGTTTTTACCAATTTTTAAAGCTTCTTCTCTAATTAAATATAAACCTTTAATTGTTGTTACATGTTGTAAAGATGAATTTAAACCAATTTCAATACTTTCTTTAGTTGATTTAATCCAATTATCAACTGTTTTCTTATTTATAAGTTTGCTATCTGATCTTAATGGCAGGTTTAATGTTGGTCTGAAAAATTATTATATTATTCATAAATCTAAGGTACATTAAATATAATTTACGTGAATTCTCTGGTAATATTGGGAATGTAAGAAATTAATGGGGTAACAGGTAGTTCTAGTTTACTAAGAGTTGATGCGGAATTTTCTCCAACAATATTATTTAATTCACCCAACAACAGTCCATCTTTATTTTGTATATCTAAAATTAACATTTTTAAATATTAATCCTGGATTAAACTTTATGCCTATTACTTATAAAACAGTCATGAAGCAGTTGAATAGTAGTAATTAGACATCTAACCATAGCGGCAATCTGCTTTCTAACATTGGAAAACTGAGAGTTTATCAGAGTTTGTAATGCTGTTTTCCGATGTTCTATAAATACATTTAAAAGCTGCTCATTTGATTGATTTTCTAATAACATTAATGCATTTAAATTTTGACAAGTTTCCTAAAAGTATATTTTTTAACATACTATCATAATTCAGTGTCAATAAAATAATTACCTTAGTTGTTATTTCCACTGATTCTAACTTTTCAGTAATTTTCTGAAATATTATTATTCTAAGAGCTGATAAATTTAACTTTAAATGTTCAAATAAAGGCAGTCTTTGTAAATATTCTTTTTTGCTTAAATTTATACCTGAAAATGATTAAATAATTTTCTTCTAATATATGTTTAACAATATTCTACCCATAATAACATGTTGTGCTAAAAGATAGAACTGTGTAGCTTCTAAACTATTTCCTTTATCCAAGGTAATCCAAATTTCTTCATTTAGAAAAAATGCTAATCTTAATTGACTAAGCAATATACGTTGTTCTTTTTTTGTTCTAAAATATGTACAAAACATTATATTTTGTACCTCAGTGCCACTACTTACCTACGATTCATCTTTTATATTTGAGGAAGTTACACAAAGTAAAGAATCAGGAGCTTCTATAAGTGATCCACAAGTTTGTGTAATCTCTTCTATATTTGAAACAATCTTCTCCGACATTGTTTGCATTGATTTTATGGCATCAGACGCGGCCAGAATGTCTTTGTAGCGATCTCTAAAAATTGTTTAGAGCAAATTATAATACGTATGAAAATAGAAAAACTTAAACAAATGCAATCTAGATTTTTGTATACACACCCAACCATTGAACGAAGATCATTTCGTTTCTTTTCGATTTCCGCGTCCAACAGCCTCTCAATTTCAATAATATTATCAACACTACTCTCTTCAAACAATTTATCAACATCTAAATTAGTTAAATTAGACTTATTCATTTTCTAAAAGTTTATATTTAAAAACTAACCTAAAAATAAAAATGGTAACGTCAACAACGCAGACGATTGCAATCGGTGTGGCCATAGATTAGTTGTCATATTTATGGTATTATGCACAGTCAGAAAGAACTAAACTCGGTTAAATATTGAAATTATTTAATAAAACTACTGTTAAATGCGAAAGTAATTGAATGCAATGGATTTATAATTAAGTATGTTTGTTTTATAACAAGAACAGGTTGTAAATTTTAGCTAAAAAATATGTGCAATTTTCCATAATGGAAATAAGTATAGATATTTAGCTTTAGTTTGATTCATCTACTGATTTATAGATGTCGCCATCCTCAAATATTTTAGTTCAGTATTAAACTGTGTAGATGTCACTTTATATTTAAAATTTTCGGGCATTTAAATAAAATTTCCTTAAACTAAACTTTTTTTTATAATATACCGCAACTAATTAAAAAATAGTTCTTTATTAGTTTATATGTATTTTTTTTTGTAATTGGTGAGTTAGATGGTATAAGAAAAGAAGCAAATGACATATGTAATCTATCTCTTTATTGAATAAACAAAAAAATAAATCGTGTTACATTATAATCCTCATCAATCGTGATAAAACTTAATTACAGTAATTAAACACGTCTAAATATGGCATGCATTTAACAAACATAATGCAAAAAATAGTTCCACTATGGATTTTTACACGAAGCTTTTTTTCTACATGATACTCCTTAAAATCTAATCAAGTCACTCATTGCTTATAAATTAGCTAAATGTTAGCTTTCCAAGACTAAATCTTCTGCACCACCTCCAAAATCGGAGATTGAAAGATTTACGCCCAAAGCTCGATAAGACACGCGCTGTGAATGGTGAAAAGTTCGATACAATAATGTTTAATGTGCAAAAAGGAAAAAACAAAATTTTAGTGTGTGGTATGTGTTCCTAAAACTACCTATAGTTAAAATTTAACGCACGTTTAACGCTCATCGGTGGCATAACCGTATAAAAAAACTGGAGAATTACCATTAAAATAAAACATAAAATAAAAATAATTATTTCCCAAACAAAAAGTCACAAATATTTTTCTTATAATTTCAATATCAGTTAATTCTATTGCCATTGATATATTTAATAGATTCAAAGCTTATTTTAAAATATTGTTAGTTTATTAAAAAATTATAAACAGTTCTAGGGCATGCCACTGTCGTTTAATGCCTTAAATGATGTACCGGGTCTCTCACAGTAAATATCCTTGTTCTAATAGGTAAAATATTTCAGCTACAGCTACATATTATATTGTGAGGCATTATTCAAATTTCATTTACTTATGGTAGATATGTCGTTTAAACCGTATAGTAGAATTCAAAGTACACAAGTTCAGAAAGAAATTGTATAGAAATGATGTATACTCCAATAAAACAAGGATATATTTACACTGAAACACGCGGTATATTATGTATAAAAAATGCTTTAAGCATATATACTCGAGCAAACGTAAACTCTTATAAAAAAGAACATTTCGTTTTTAAATGATAATATTAAAATTCCCGAAACAAAAAAAACAAAAAATTATAAGCAACTATATCCGTAAATATGTATCAATATAAAAGAACAAACTTTAATACAATATAAAACATAGAAATTTCTTTTCAACAAATAATAATAAACAAACATTATTTTGATTTAAATTTTTGAAGTATATAGAAATGCGTTAACTCTAAATAATAAATAATTACATAAAACTGACCAATATCCATCTGATATCATACCTATAATATGATTTATGTACATTTCTTTGTCTACTTAAATAATACTTAACCGTTACCTACATGATATAATATACTAAAAATCGTGCAGTGCTAAATTGTATTATTTCTATATAAATAAACTCTTAAAATAGAATATAAGTACATATTTTATATATTGCTTCTAATATTCTGATATCTTAGTAATCATTTAGAGATAAAAAGGCAATTGAAGACACTCTCGTAAGGATAAAAAGGCAAACATTTTTTTACATTCTACATTCCACATAATCCAGATGTGTGACATCCAGAAATGCAGAGTAATAAGGAATTTTTGGTATACCTAGACCGTATCAATTTTCTTGATATATTTACATTTATTATTTATTAGTTTAACGTAATTTATAAATAAATAGGTACCCTACTTATAAAAGATAATAATCATTTAAACATTTTTTAAACTAGTCCATACTCATTTAATTTTTTTTCGATAATGTACATAATGAGTATTTTATACTCTTTTCGTTGGATGAACCTGACTAGAGAATTTACAAAACACAAAAATTATTATATCTAGTTTTAACTATTTACATACTACATACTAAAAATCGTAGGATTATTAATAAATAAAATTATGAAGGCCATGAAAACGTATTTTGATTTGAATTTTACTCTACATAAATAAATAATCATTGATGATGGTTTATTTACCCTGAAATATAATTCGTAAAAAACAGATATAAATTACGAAAAATAAAACTAGATACTTACATATATTATTATTTTTGGCGAAATTATATTTCACACATAGTTCATTCACCAAGTTCCAGACTGTAGTTTGATAATTTTGATAATATCGAAATAAATATGGCTTGATATTGGATTATAAATAAGTTATAGTAAATTTAGATAGTCAGTAACATCTAAATTATACGCTGTGTAAGTTAAAATCAAGAAATAACAATTGAAATATGTTTAATTAATTTAAATAAACAAAGTGAGTATAAATCTAAATTATATTTAGATAAGTGAATAATTTACTAATATTGTCAAAAAATCACTATTAATAAATGGTAATAGAAAGAATAAATTAATTTAATGTTAGAGTCATGAATAAAGAAACATAAATTGAAAATATTTGATTCAATAATAACGATAGTCAAAAAAAGTCAAAATCTAAATGCGAGTTCATAGCCTGTTAGACAAATGTTAATAATAATATGATACACTACATGCTAATAATCACCTTAAACCATCCTATCTATAAAATTATTACTCTTTGCTTCCATTCTTTACTCCAAGCATTTCAGCCACATCATCAGGTGACGCGTTCAGTACCTTATCAATAATACTCCTGTCCCTCAATCCGAGTAGATTGCTGATAAGATCACCACCTTCCTGGACATCTGATTCGTCAGTTTTCTCAGCTTTCCTGCCACCCAAATCCTTTTCTGTTTTGACTGCGGACGACGTTGATACAGCACTGCCACCATCTTCATCACTGTGAGTTGTATCCTGATCGAAACTATTACAAGTGGAATGTTTCTTCTTGTGGCGCAGCATGCTGTGTTTTAGTGTAAACCTACGCCGGCAGATATCGCAACTGAAAGGCCTCTCCCCCGTGTGAGTGCGCATATGCCTGCGCAGATCTTCTGCCGACCAAAACCTGCGCATACACCATGCGCAGATAACTTTTCTGTTGCTGTAATCTGGAAATTTACCTCTGATTTCGTTGTCTTCTTCGTCATGATGTAGGGTCTCATCTGGAGTGGTCGCACCTGTATCTAATGCGTTTTTCGACATGAGAAGATCATATTCACTGGCATGCTTGTCTCTGATATGTTCCAAAGCCTCGTTTCGTTCAGCAAAAGAACCTTCGCACAGATGGCATTTGAAAGGCAAGTCCGAGTTGCTGACTTGAGAATTCTGAGCTGGATCTAAGTTATTGGAAACCTGAAACTTGCTGAATGCGATCTGACTTTCCCAATCGTTCTTGCTTTCAGCTTGGTTAACTTTCTCGTCTTCTGAGCTACCCGCCTCGTAACCTTGAGCTTTAATATCATCCCCTTGAGCGTTCGTTGAATGTTTACAGCTAATGTGTTTCTTGAGGTTGGAGTAAGTTGAAAAAGTGCTGCTAGGACAGTTAGAACATTTAAAAGGTCGTTCTGGGACGTTCCTCATCAGGTAATTGACCCCATTGGGACTGGAGGCTTCGCTGGTGACGATGGTAGTGGCGCTGTTACCGTGTTTACGTAAAAGATGGCGATCGCAGTTGGATTTGGTGGTGAATAATAAGGGACAGTGGCTGCATTTGAATGGTTTCTGGCCAGTGTGGGTCAAGATATGACGACGTAGGGACGAAGTCCAGGGAAATTTGCGACTGCAATATGGACAACTGACGCGATTTGGGGCTAGCGAATATGCTGATTTTTTCTTCGCTGGGGCTGCGTTCGTGACAGCTTCGGATTCTGACCTGAAACGAAGAGTACGTTATTAATAAAAAAATAATAATAGTAATCAATATGAATATACGGTATGATTTAAAAAAAACGCGTCCAGTTGCTTGGAAATGATCATCGATGACATTCCCCATATAGGTAATTTTACATAACGGGTGTTCCTTAATGACATGGTAATATTTAAGGGGGTGATTCTTGGACCTATTCTAAGAGAAAATCTTCATATGAATGTATGTCCTAATCATCTTAACTTCTGAGATACAGGGTGGTAAAATTTTCTAATTTTTTTTCATAATAAACCTGATTTTATTAAAGATATCTTTGTGAAACTTGATACACGTCTTCTATGGATAAAAATACCTTTTTTGATGTACAAAGAATTTTATTTATTTCAACCACTCGCGTCCATACTGGTTTTACATTGAATATTTTTGGAAAAAAAAGTGATAGGTACACCACTGACTTTTTTTTAAATTAAAATTATATTCGAAATCTCCATTCGTTTCTAAACATTTTTTATCTCCTGATTTTTTTTCGTCCGACGTATAGTTTATCCTTAAAAAAAAATAAAGTCAATTTCCTTCAGAGTAAAATCCCTGAAAATCTGAACCGGTGACTTATATCGAAATAATTTCTTCATGGGCTGGGGAGGAAATGAAGAAATAGAACAATTTTTTTTGTATATCAAAATACGCATTTTGACGCATGAAAGACGTGTATCAAATATAACATCAGAGATATTCTGAAAAAAAAATTAGAAAATTTTACCACCCTGTATCTGAAAAGTAAAAATGTTAAGGATATATATATTCATATGATTTTTTTTCTTAGAATAGGCCCAAGAACCACCTCCTTAAATATTAGCATGCCATTAAGAAACACCCTGTATAAAATGATAGCGATCTTCATTTCATAGCAATCGCTGAAGCCGTTTATTTCGATAATACGGTATTACATTTTTCGGATATTCTTTTTTTCTAATTAACTTGTAACTTTTGTAAAACACACTATTTTGTTTGATTTTTAAAAGAGTATGCTTGAATAATGTAGTATTTGGAATCAGTACGTTCTTCTGATTCTGCTTGATAAAGAAGTTTTAATTTGAAAGAAATAACTGCTTTGCGCACTCAAAGTGAAAAAAATAATTGATACAAATACGTCAAAACATATTGTGCATACAATATGCATACATTAAAAAATTCTGACAAAAATTAAAATAATATCTAACCCGCCACCAAATCAAAACAAAAAAGTATAAATTACCTTAACTCACCTGTTCTCATCCGTTCCAGATATATTCTCCTCACTAGTACTTCCACTGGCTACTAGACCTTCTTCATCGTCCTCACTTCCAGCGCCTTGTTCCTGCTCTTCACTATCTCTCTTAAAGAACTCTTTGAACTGCTGCTGTGAAGCGTTGTCCAACAGTCTGGAGACTGGCACCAAGTCCTCTTCGTTTCTAACATTTCGGTCATTGTCTCTAAGTTTTTCTTCTAAGATTTGAGCCTTTTTGTACTCACTTCCTGGCGATAATAAAGGTTCTTCAGATTTGTCGTTTTCGTCAATAACCAAGTCGCAATCTTCGTCATCTTCTTTTTTGATTTCCTGACCGGAATGTTTAGCTTGAAATTGCTGAGCCAGCAAAGCTAGTTTCAACTTCTCACTTACATGATGATCTGTAGACTCTTGAAAATCGCCAATTTGAGACAATCCGTAACCAGGGGTGGATATACCTTCGCAATAATTTGGTTTCAACAGCATACTTTGAGGCTTTCTACCAGGCTGACTAACATTTGTTCTCTGCCTTTGAGACCAGTACTGAGGATGTTGTTGCTTGATGTGCCTCTCCATGTTTGATCTCAATGTGAATTTTGCCGAACAATGTTCGCAAGTAAACGGTCGTTCCGTTCGATACCTTCTTTGTTTCTGTTTCGGCATTAGAACGCCGTTTTTGATTACCATCTTCACAGAGTTCTGGGTTTGGGTTAGGTCAGGTTTTAACTGTTGAGCCGGACTGTGAATTTTTGGAGTGTTTTCGGTAAATACGGCATCAGTATTCAAAGTAAGAGGTTTGGCAATTTCAACCTTCTTTGGAGGTACTTGAAGAACATTATTTTCATGTTTTATATCTGGTTTTTGTTCAGGACATGGTTTGAATCCATTAAATCCCACTGTTGGACTTAATAGTGTCGGAGGTCGCTGTTGCATTATACTATTCTGTTGAAAATTTTGTTGAAAGTTCCTCAATTCTTCAGATATTACAGAGCCTCCAGCCAATTGCAGCCTCTGCATTCGTTCTTTAAGTTCTTGCGGGGTTTGAATCATATTTGGCAAAACTCCTTGTAAGAACAGAGGATTAAAAGGAATTCCTGACCATAAACTATTACGATACAAATTTAAAACCTGAGAAGCGTATAAAGCTGTTGGATCTACTTTAGGATGCTCGAACATGTCTTTAAATGAAGCTACTGCTTCGGGAATTACTGAAGGTACTTTCTTTGTTAAATCTTGTGGTTCTTCCTCGTCTTTTTCAATACGTTTTTTCTCCTCTTCTTCGTCCATTTTTTTCTTACTTAAATCTAAAGCTACATCCATTGGAGGTTCATCTTCTTCCTCTTCATAATAGTCGTCATCAGACTGTGTCTCAAAACTGCTGTTGGTGTCTTTTAGAACTTCGAAAGGTTTAACTTGGATCTTCGCCGGTGGTATATTATTGGAATGTTGAGGTATTGCGTTAGGAAGAGTAGAAGATACATTGAAATGATTACCGAAGAAAGGAGATATACCATTCAAAAACCTCCCGTCTCCTATACACGGCATATTGGCCATTTTTGAAGCCAGATTGAAACTTGCCAATTCTGGTTTTAATGGAATTTTTGGTGTAGAGCAATGTAGCTTTTCTGGAGATAGATCGTTTTGTTTTATAGGAGAAGAAGGTCGTTGATGTTTTTTTATTTCTTCTTTTAAAGTCAGTTTATTGAGATCCTCGTTAGTAGGATCTTCAGATGGATGATAAATTATATTCTTCTTAACATCCTCCCTTGTTGTTTTCAAATGGCGATTTCTCAAATGCCTTTCACAGTTGGCTTTGGTAGTAAAGGCATAATTGCAAATGGCGCATTCGTAAGGTCTATCTCCGTTATGAGTCCTCATATGGCGGATCAAGGCAGCCTTATCCATGGAAGAATGGGTGCACATATTACAATAGTAAGTACCGTTGTTATTACCGTTAAGATGAGCCCTGTTATGCCCTTTCAGTGCCCTCAGATTTGGAAAAACCGCAGTACACAATCTACACGGAAACTCACCTCTAAGTTTCATTTTTCTAAATTCCAACACAAAATTATCCTGAGATTCTTCTTCTTGTTCGTGGTTATAGTGATCTATATCATCAACGGGTTTAGAAAGAGGGGTTTTAAGTTCCTTAGTTTTCGCCTGGAACTGAGGTACGTTGATATTTGACCAGATCGATTGGAAATCTGCCAAATCTTTAGTTTCGTCAATTTTGGCAAGCTGTTCTCTTAATTTATTCGATGGAGTAGTTTTTAGCGTTTGAACTGGTGGTAAGTGTTTCTCGGGAGAGTTGTCCTGTAAGTCCAGTCTGGAAAAGAATTCGCTTCTTCGTATTTCGTCTTCTGAAACAATATTTTTGGATAAATTCGTACCAGCGGGTGGATCCAGACAGAGTTTTTCGTGAATTTCTAAGGAACTGGAACAAGGGAAAGCTTTCCCGCATTTTCTGCATTGAAATTTGAGGCTGCCAGCCGCCTTGTGCAGATTTATTTCGCACTCTCTTCGAGCGATATAAGGAAACTTCTTGCTGGAAAAGTCCACAAAAGTTAGGTCTGGAAATCCCACAACCGCTTGCTTAGAATTATTAACTGCATGAACTGCCGATTTGTGTACTGCTAGGATATTGCTATTCGAAAACACTTGATTGCAAATAGTGCATTTAATGGGATAGTCGGGATGATTGTCCTCTAAATGAGACTCAAGGTTAGTGATAGAATCAAAGTCTGATCTTTCACACAGTGGACACTTAAAATTGTGGACTATTTCATCACTGTCTGTGTTAATATTACGTTTTTTATTGCTGTCTTCTTCGATAACTTCCAATTTTCTTTTACCAGGATGTTTAGTATCGACTTTATTGTTGTTATATTCGATGCTTTTAGAACTGGCACCGGAGTCAGTGCTACCATCAGACTCGTAGTTGTTATCCGTCTTCATCGAATGAGTTCGCATATGCCTGTGCATGTTTCCATTCGTCGTAAAGGTATCACCGCAAAATTTACAATGAAAAGGTCGTTCTCCACTATGAACTAACACGTGTCGATCCAAACTAGAACTGGAACTAAGCACTTTATGACAGATCTTACAGGTGTAACCTTTGTCGCTGTCCTGGTCTTCGGTCTCGTTGTTGTGAGATCGAATATGAAGAGTGAACTGGTGTTGGGTGGTGAGCATTTTGTCACAGATGGGGCAAACAAATTTCCGGTCTACGCTAGGTGTATCGCTGTCGTAGTTCGTTGACTGGTCGATGGTAGTGTTCGATGTGGCGGAGAAGATTCCAGAGTCGTTCTGACAGGTTGACAGATCTGCTGATGTAGTTTTCTTCTTCAGTTGGTTCGATTCAAAGGAATCTTCCATATCTGGATCTGAAAAAAAAACAAATTAAGTTTAATTAAATTAAAAAAAAACAAGGTGGAGTTGATTTATTATTGATATTTAAAGTATAACAAATTCAGTATTTTTCATGTTAACTTTTTTCCAGTCGCAACCAAGACCAAGATAATAAAAATTAGAAAATTTGATGACATATAGCTAACATATGTAGGTAAGTATATAAATTATTATTTTATAGAAGATCTCAAATAAAAAACTCAACTTTTTAAAATTAAAAAATATATTAAAGCCTTTCACACTGACGAAATACGTATCCCGGATCCCGAATGACGTAATGTGCAGACCGCGACATAAAGTATCTACCTATTACAGATGAAGTAATGTACAGAATTAAAAAAAGTAGTATTTCTGGTAGTATGTTTATAGTAAGAGTAGATATTTCTATAAATCTTAAATTGTCACATTCAATATACTGTTTCATGCGTCTGTCCACAAACATACATACAAGTATACATATTTACTGTATTAATCACCAAAAGATCGTGGTCTTGTTTCGTCTTTATCGGACATGAGTTTGTTTAGAGACGATCCCAGATTTCAGTCAGGCCGTTATACTATACCTATCTCGGCGTTAAACAAAGATTATTCAACCCTAAATCGCTCGTGTGTCAATGAAACCGAACATCTCACGACGATATTGTTTTTAGAGACAAAGAATCGATCGATTTGGTTTTTCTAGGCCACCAAATCTGACTTCTAACGTTTAAGACAAAAGATATCACTATTGGAATGTAAATAGTATATCGGTTTGGAATATTTAATTTACAAATATAATGATTTGACGTATTTTTCATTACGTTCGTGCATTTTTAATTACAGAAATCATCAACTTATGAGAAAATATAAAGTCGATTTGTTAATGTTAATTATTTTTGTTACAGAGGTAACTCTAACTTTAAGCAAAACTCAAACCAAAAACGGATAGTCTTACTGAAAATTTACCATCGAGTATCGACATTATAACTAAATGTAAAACTTAATAATATGGTTAGCAAAACTAACTCTTGATGTACATATAAATTTGTTAAGTAAAGATGTGTAGTGTTCTCCTGAAATGGTTTTTCCTTTCTAAATCCTTCTTCTTAGTCGTATTTTCATGTCTGAGAAATAGTGATTTCATGGAATCAGATACATCCATTTACTCGAGTTTTCCATGTTTGTTGGTCCATTGCTTCAGATAGAGTTTGTAGTGGTGTATTTTGAAATTTTCTTGACTTGGTCTATCGATCTAACAGATGACCTGCCTCCCGGTCGTTTTCCTTCTACCTTTCCCTGTACTACCTGTTAACTTTTCTAGGTTGTCTCCCTCGTGTTTTGTAGTGTATCCAAAGTATACACTCACCGACATGAAAAACGGACACCTTAAAATTTTCACGTGTTTTAAAGTTTTATATACTGTGTTAGTGGACCGATTTTGATGATTTTTTAAGCAATTTGTAGCTAGATTATTTGACTTTTTAGTGTGTATTTCTAAATTAAAAATGAAAGTTGCCATCTGTCAATTATAAGGGGGAAAACAAAATGTTGATATTTTTGTGAAAGTTTAAAACACCCTGTAGAGTACATTAATAAAGCAAGAAATTTAAAAATCATTTTATCGTCTAGGTGTATCTTTTCTCGATAGTTTGTTTTTTGGTTCATCTCAATAGCTTAATTTTTTTTGGAGATTCGTTTTTTGAAGAAGACACTAACATTTTTTCGTATTTTTTACATTAAACCCATACTTTTGCTTTTGGCCCTAGTCAACAGACATAAAATATTATTTATGGAATGTTCCACAGGGTGTTTCAAATTTTCAGCAAAATATCAACCTTTTGTTTACCCTCCTATAATTGACAGATGGAAACTTTCATTTTTAAATTAGAAAGAGACACTAAAAAGTCAAATAATATAGCTACAAGTTGCATAAAAAATTATCAAAATCGACTAACTAGAACAAAATAAATCAAAATTTTAAGGTGTCCGTTTTTCGTGCCGGTGAGTGCATATATTAGTATTCTTCGGTGACACATCTTGGACAATGTGTCTTTGAGCTTCAACTCTTTTAGTATAGATCCATTTCTGCGTTACTCTGCATGTCCATACTATTCGTAACATACGTCGCCAGCAACACATTTCAAATGCATTTATTCTTCGTATGTCTGATGTTTTCATCGTCCAGGATTCCGCTTTGAACAAGAAGATTGAGAATATGAAAGATTTTACTTAGATGATTTTCCTGTTTCTTGTAATGTGACGATCTTTCCATATTCTTATAAGGTGCTTATGAGGCTCCTCGTGCCATTGTCGATCGCCTTTTCATTTCTTTTTCGCACACACTCCCTTAGTTACTTAATATATTTAAAACGTTCGGTCGTAGGATAATTTCAACTCTGTCGACTATACCATAAGTTTAGTCTTGCTGAGATTTATTTTCAGACACATCTTAGCACTTTCTCTCGTAATTGATATTGGTTAGGCTAAATCCGATTATAATAATAATAAAGATTATTTAAAAAAATAAGACTTTCACAAATCTAAAATTTGTCAGCATTCATGGGACACAGGGCAAAGAATAGATTTTAACAACGCCAAAATTATAATGAAAGAAGCGATAGTCTCTAAAAGAAAAATAAAAGAAGCTTTTTTAATACAATCTAATAAAAATAAATGTATTGCTCACGCATCTGTAGATGCTAGTAATGTATGGCAATCGCTTCTTTGATTTAAAAGAACATAATTAATAAATAAACGTAACATACGTAAAAATTAAAAATAATCATACAGAAAGTTTGAAGCTTTTTGGTTTGGTTGTATAATAATAATAATTGTTATCAGGTAGTAATTATTAATTTTGAAGTTTAACTTGGATATAATGTCATTTTAACAGAACGTCAACGGGTTTTGTAGACGGATCTGTTTTAAAAACATTAAAGGGTTCTGGAATATAGTTGCATTTAAATATTTTAATTTTTTTTTCTTCATTCTTTGTATTGTTTGCTTCCGACGACGGAAAGGGATAAACTTTCCGAAACGTTAAGCATTATATTGTTGGTTAGGCAAATTTGTTTATCAGTAAACCTAACTGCTGACAATTAGCTTCCGTTGGATTAACGCAGCACTGTTTACAAAAAAAATAACTATTTTATTTTGTAGATTTCCTTGTAGTGGCGAAATACCCATATAGTTTTTTGGAGAGATAAATCCGATTAGGATGACTACTGATGCTATCTCAAAAAACAGAAGCAAACCATTTTTCAAACTAAAAATAACAATTTTTGTTTTCTTTAAAGCCATTTTCCGTAGGGCGAGGATACAGATTATCCTTGTATATCTGAGCCTCGAATCTGATGAATAAGAGGGACGAATTCCTTAGAAATCCACTGCGATTGGGTACACGGATTTCATGCGCGCGTACCTGACACGAAATCATCATTCGGTACGATAAATAAAAATTTTCTTCGTCTCCTTATCGGTATTTACTTGACCCGGATTGCGTCCCTCGTTATTGTTTTTTCCGTTTCGAGGTCTTGCGTAAATTTTTTTATGGAAATCGAGAGACGACGGCCGCCGAGACGTGATACCCGTTTTAAGGGGCCGAAGCCGAACCGAAGAAATCTGTTCGGCTGCGTTACGTATGAAGAGAAGATAGTTTGGTTTCGATTTTTGCGTGGCTCAGCGGCAAGTTTGCCTACCTGCTGGCCTGAGAGATTATACAGGGTGAGTCTTAAATAAAGGCAAATATGTTTAGGGTTGGTATATTTCGCCCCAGGAACACGTCTGTGAGTTTTTTCGCCAAAAAAATGATGTTAATGATTGAAAATCGTACATTTTCTTTTAAATTTTAGATTTTTTTTTAAAGTGCATGTTAACCGCAAATTTTCCCACGATAAAATTTCTTAATCTCTAATATTACGATGGTTACGGAGCAAATACAAAAAAATCCGGTGGCTTTCCGGTACTTTTTGTGTCACGCCTGTAACGTCAAACGTATAGCCTCGCTAAAAAAGTATCATTTACTCCTAATAAAACAATATATCTACTATTTTTTAAAAATTTCTAGAACAAGTCAATTATTTTGGACTTCTTCTATCGATATCTATCAGCCCTGAAAATATTTGCATTTATTTAGGACTCATCTTGTATAGAGTCGACTTGTCGCTTTATACAGGGTAGCTGATATGTATGGGAACGGTCGATTATTAGGTAAAATCTAAGAGTTACCGGAAAATGATAAAAATAAAAGGTATAGGGTTTTTAAATATCTATAAGCGGGTAATACATTTAATAATACAGAGCCGGTCATAAAGTCGTGATACATCAAAGTTTAATTTTTTTAAATCGAACCCCCTGTATATTATTGCATATTTCGGCTCTTCCTTCAATTCTAAGCAAAAAACGATATACACACAATGTACCTTAAACCAGCAGTTTCCGAGTTATTGACTATTGAAAATATCACTTAAACAATTCGATTTAATTAATTTCGATGTGTTTGGTTTCATTTAACGATGCCATTCTGCGGAAACTGTGATACAGTACGTCTGTCCGTTCTGTGGCTACGGGGTATCCGTGAGAGGGGAAACGATATTCTCTCGATGTTTTTCGTAAAAAATTAGACGACACGTCCCATTAATAAAAATTCGACAAATTTGCAAGTAGCCAATAAAATGAGCGGGCGGAGCGATTTGCGGTGACGTACTCGTCAAGTCAACGTATAAAATATATTGATGTTTATTTAAATGTTTTTTGTCCGCATTCCTTTCATAGACACAGATCCTGCAGACGAACTGTACTTAATAATATTTGACATTAGTTTTCAAGTTAGATGTACCTATAAAATGAGATTATATCAAGTCTGAAACTTACAAAATTTTTGTTTAACATTTCAAAATCAAAACTTCATAATTGAAATTGAATTTGTGTGAATTTAGTGAATTGTTGAATTTTTTTTAGGTACATTATGTGTATTATGATTAGAGTTACTTGAACTTTATAAACCCACAACCCACAAATATGCAGAATGTAGGTAACACCATCAACCATCAAGCAATGTCAGGTAATTACCTAGATTTAGGTATAAATTTACAGGAAAAAGTAATAAATGTAAATAATTTGTCAACAATTTTTTTCGCAAAAGCAACTTATGGCTGTTACTGGTGCCGATGTACAGTACGTCTGCTGGATCTGTGTCTATGAAAGGAATGCGGACAAAAAACATTTAAATAAACAACAATATATTTTATTCGTCGACGTCACCGCAAATCGCTCCGCCCACTCATTTTATTGGCTACTTGCAAATTTGTCGAATTTTTATTGATGAGACGCGTCGTCTAATTTTTTACGAAAAACATTAAGAGAATATCGTTTCCCCTCTCACGGATACCCCGTAGCTATAGAACGGACAGACGTACTGTATAAGTACTACTAATAAATATATATGCATTTAAATATATATATTTATTACATATACATATTTTTATTTAAAAGGCACCCTGAATTAACTTAAATAAGTCATATCGTCCCCTATCTCAGGTACAGGCGTAACTGAAAAATCTAAAAAATGAGTTACACCATTTGAAAGTTCCCTACAGGCATAACTTTGATCTCAAGGAGTGCTGTAACAGTATCTATTACGATCTCTCCAAAAAATCCTATATGGGTATTTCGCCACTGCAAGAAAATCTCCAAAATAAAATAGTTATTTTTTGTAAACACTTCTGTGTTAATACCAAACGGAAACTACTTGTCAGAAGTTAGGTTTACAGATATACAAATTTGCCTAACGAACAAAAAAATGCTTAAGGTTTCGGAAATTTTATTTCTTTCCGTCGTCGCGTCGGTCGGAAGCAAAAAAAATACAAGATACATAAACTTTCCAAAACGTTAAGCATTTTTTTGTTCGTTAGGCAAATTTTTATATATGTAAACCTAACTTCTGACAAGTAGTTTCCGTTTGGTATTAACGCAGAAGTGTTTACAAATAATAACTATTTTATTTTGTAGATTTTCTTGCAGTGGCGAAATACCAATATAGGATTTTTTGGAGAAATGAATCCGCCACATAGGGACATTTTTTATCTATTACTATATCAAGGCACTGATACATTTTGGATTGCACGTATTTTACAAAAATTATATTTTTAATACAGGTACCTAATTTTTAATTTTGTTTCTTCCTGACAAATTTATTAAATTGCGAGGTACGCCAGTATGTGAGATCGGGAACGATATGGTATACGATAAAGCAGTGCGTTAATTATTAAACGTAACGAAACTTAATACTCAGTACTTCAAAACTCTTAAGTTGGGTATTTTACCTGTGTTTCACTTGAAACAATTCTATTTTTATTCTTGTAAAATACCCGTTTGTGTTTAAATCAGGCAAATTAAAATGCAGGAGAGATATATCTGCGTTAAGATAGGTATATAGTACCTATTCGCGGTACTGCACGGTTCGAAAATCAAGAGAATTGCGGTTATTATAAGAAAAACCTTTCAGCAAAACAATAGTAAGATTATTATGTTTGTCTCGTGACCATATTAGATTAGTACCACTTTGGGAAGTTGTTTGTCGTAGACATAAACATATTTTTTTAACATCAAAATGTAAAAATACATTGATCAACTTGGTTTTGTTCAAAGACAATTATTAACCAATAAAATAATTAATAAGACAACTTTAAAATTTATTTGTTAGAATGGCTTAGAATTGAAAAGTAATTTATATCTTGGACAAAAATACTATGAGGAATTTCTCAAATATACAGGGCGGTCCAAACTATATTCCGGAAACTTCGGCAGCATATTCTGCAGATAAAAATAAGGTACTGCAGGTAAAAAAAATGTACAAATGTGTGTCCTAAAATGCTTAGTTTCGGAGATACAGGGTGTAAAAGTTTCGTTTTTATTACGATTTTTTCCAAATAATTTCTGAAGTAACGTCATTATTTGGATGAAAATTGGTATCTGGAAGTTTTCTGACTTTTCGTCCTTACCTGTACAAAACCCCTACCGAGTGAAAAATTATACATTTCAGTGACTCTACGTAAAAAATGTCTCTTGGTAAAAATCGCTACGAGCAACCGTTTCAAGATATTTAAAACGGAAATAGTCAATTTTTGTCATTATTGACAAAAAATAAACACGTTGAGTAGATAGTTATTTGACCGAAATAATAAATTTGGGAAATTTTTATTTGTTTTATAATAATCATAATTTTTTCTGCGAAAAAATGATGATAAAACAGTTTCTGTTTGAACCTCTGGCACAAAAACATTTCAATTTTATGATTTCAGTCTAATAACTATTTAGTCAACATATTTAATTTATGTCAATGATGACTCGTAGCTATTCTTACCAAGAGACTTTTTTAGGTAAAAAACATCGTAAATGTAAACTTTTTTACTCAGTAGTTTTATACAGGTACGGACGAAAAGTTATTACTGTTCAAACCAGTTAAAAATGATGTAGGTGGCGCCCTCTACAAGTAGGAGTCATATTGACACCAAAATCAAATTTCGCATGTCAAAAAACTCCTAGACCCAATTTTCATCTATAAATATTGATGTTATTTCAGAACCTATTTGGAAAAAATCGAAATAAAAATGAAACTTCTACACCCTGTATCTTCAAAACTTGTATTTTAAAGAAAAAGTATTTTAGGACATACATTTATACGAACTTTTTTACTTATTTTTATATGCAGAATATGCTGTCGAAGTTTCCGGAATACAGTTCGGACCACCCGGCATTGAGGATTTGGAAAGGAAATTAAAATGAAGTGCTTTTGACTTACACCGCATCGTCCCTTAAATAGTAGCTACCCCAACTATTTTTAACATAAACCTACCCTGTTTGGTGTATTGCTGTAAAGCTTGTTGATTTTTTTTCATTCTTACGTCTTTTTATTTATTTTATGGTATAATCAGTAGATGGTGGTTAACTAGACGATGGTGAAAATTAAAAAAGTTACTAAATTAACTTGAAATTATGAGGAAAATTTGAAACATTTTTTTTATTATCGATATCCAAGAATCACTGAAATTAGGAAAATGAAAACTACATCATCAGTCCGTTATCTCGAAAGAAACTGAACATGGTACATTGATATTGTAACCGAACTGCAATCTTATTGTGGTTGGAAATTTCTGAACGCAATGGGAAAAAATATAAACAAAACTCAAATTGGGTTGACTCGTATGGGAATCCTAATATGACATATTTATATCAAGTATTTGTACATAATATGTAGATATTTTTTATTATTTATTCTTATATTATACATCGGATGTGTGTTTAACGAGGTGTATTACTGGAGGAGGGAGCAAATGCCCCTTGCCTCCCACACTGGCTCCATAGCGTAAAAAAATGAAAAAAAAATGATTCGTGCTATGAAGGTACTCAGACGTATTCTTCATCTTACAAATGCACTGCTCCATAAAGAGCGTAAAGACAGCGATGTACAGACGTGATGGGTGTCAGTTTTTTATAAGTTCCTACACGGAACCTACACATTTTTATGTTTTTATCCTCAAAACCCCAACTATACTGAAGGTAGTTTACCTTGAAATTGTGATTAAAATGTGCAATTGTGTTGAAAATGTGCATCTGTGGTAATTAACATGTAGTATCTGTTGAGAGGGTTGGTGATTCTAAAAAGAAAGTTGTATGACGCCACCAGAAGACAAAGGGTTGACAAAGGTTAACAAAGCCAAACAAATAAAAATATTTTATAATTTTTATATTTTGAAGAATTATTCAGATTATAGGCGTTTATTTCCATTGAAAGTAAATTGTGTATTATAATATGCACGATTGTGCATCCAGGCACAATCCTCATGGCAACATAGAGCGTCAATAAGCTGATGAATAAGTTGAATGAATTCTCAAAATGTAAGCAGTATTTTTTCAAAATTTCAAAGTTAAATAAATTTAAAAACATTTTCAATTTATTTAAACAATTGGAAATAGAAAATAATGTTTCTTTTAGAACTACTCCTTAAAATATTCGCACTAATTTAACGGACACCTTGTATATTGAAAATTGAAATATAGTAAATATACATAGTACATAGTTATCTCGTCACACCAGCCTTTAAAATATTTGTAGATTTTATATTTTACTCTAATTAAATAAAATTATAGACGTTATAGTGATAAACAGAATAATGAATCTGCTTGGAAAAATAATAATTATGCGTATGCTTAAATAATTAATATTGTTTATATTTAAAAACAAAAAAAAATAGTGTAAAAAGAAGACATGATTTTGCATGATACAGATGTAAAATGTATTTATTCGAAAAAACAGTTACCACTATAGATTCTTTCCGCACTTGTTAAGTTTATAAATAAAATATAATTTAAATTATGAATAAACAATATCTGTACAGAAATACACAACGGATTTAATAGTAAACTGAAACTGTTGAATATATAATCTAGATATGGATCTAGATATCTTAAAACTATGAAGAAATGATAACATGTCTAAGTTTTACTGTTGCTGAGTTCAGTGTTTAGAAGTTATCCAAGTTTCTCTTAGCAATAAATTAATGATATGGTTAAAACACTTACCTATAGCAGTGGAAGGTGGAGGTGAACCTTGCTGTGGATTCTCAGGCATAAACACCACCCCTTGCATGGCTAAGTTATGGTCTGAAATGAAATAAAAATAATATAATATCGTATACAAACAACAACTAATGTCTACAATAACAACTAATGTCAAAAGAATTTTAAAATTTCATTGTCTTTATTTTTTATTTAACTTACAATAACGTACATTATAATTATTGATATGGCACAATATAGAGTAAGTAATGCTCTTTTAAACGAGCCCTAGTTTGTTGGATTTCGATTTCCCAATCCAGCGTTATTAACTTTAAATAAAAGTAGATATAAACTTCCCCCGCCATTTTGTTTTAGCAGATAGAAAAAAAAACGAAATCTGCTGAAGATTACGACGCTGTTATTTATAATACCTCTTATCTAGGCAGTTGCGCCTTCTAGCGGCCGTTCAACAAGCTTGAAAATAATTTCCAGTATTTCTCATAACCTCATTAGTCATAAATATTTTTTTGCCAGGCTGTACGGCTAATACTTTCCGAGATACAGCCGAGACCTATTATTAGTGGAACACCCGGTATAAAAACTATCGAGAAAACTGGTGTCCTGACTCCTAACAATGTTCTGATGAACAAGCAAAGATGGCCAGCTGGTCACTGTAACGATGACCAGCTGTGACTGTAACGATAAAAAAAATGTTATTGGCAACAATAATTATTATTTTACCTTATTAATTATTAAGGTACAGTCCGCAAGATATTTACCTCAAAGCATCATGGTAACATATAAAAAAATGATGTCACGTCGTATTTTGTTAATCAACGCACAAATGTATTTTTTTAACTTTTGCAGGAAAGAGTATTTTATTTCCATAGTCAATTATTTTTTGTTTCAAAACTATCGATATTCCGAATATTGATATATTTTTTGCTGATTCAATCAAAATTTACTCAATATACTAATTGAAAATCGAATTAAAAATATCCATTGACCCAAAAAAGCAAATTAATTACTCTTGTTACAGTTGCAACGACATAAAACTGCTGTTTAATGGAAAAAAAAGCAGTGCGCTAGCGCCTTCATAGAAAAGTGATGCGTCCGTATCTATTCCGAACCCGATATGATATTGTTTAAACATCCAAAGGAAATTGTTTTTGATGATTTGTCAATTATCTGAGAAAGTAGACGCTTTCGTAAGATTTTTTTCGCATGGATCGGACAAAAAAAAGTCAAACGCAACACGCATTGTCACTGGGGGGAAAATACTGCTGCTTAAAAGGAATTGGACAATTTCGTAACTACATTCGAATTACTACATCATTATCTCAAATTTCAATGAAAAATAATAAACAATATGTTTGAGCTATATTTTTAACTAGGCTCGTTAAGTCTTCCCGATTATGATTTCATCTAATATATTTATAGGTAATTTTTGAAAAAAAATGATTTATGTAGCATAAGGTAAATTTGTCTGTTTACAACATTACATCCATTTTAAAATTTTGAAAATGTTACGATATGTATCTATCTTTAATTCCCTCTTCCATTTTCCGCATAGCTCTAAGCTATTGTTTAATAAGTTCTGTGATGTATTAACTAATGTTAACATAGTTTTCGTTATCAACACTTTCTGACAACATTTTTGCTATCATTGGTACACATATTATTAAAAAGAAATACGGAATACTAAATTGACAAAAGTTATATACTGAGTATCGAGTAACTCGAAAAAAAGTTGTGAATAGTGCTACAATTGTAAAATCCTTTGTGGCAAACTGTAGTGGTAGTTATATAGTCCAAATACAAGTTGTAACAATATTTTCTATGTTTTTATAGTTAAAAAGTTGCAGAAGTAGTTCATAGTTTTGTAGAACGTTTTAATATGGCAGTAGTTAGGGTCATTTATCTTAGATAGGAACTATTGAAAACAGGAAATTGCCATCCTATCTGATAGTCAAGCAGCACTTAACGCGATCAACTCAGTAACCATCAATTCGAAGTTGGTTAAAGAATTCCTAGAGAAGCTCAACAAATTAGACAAAGAAAATAAAGTCCTCCTACTCTGGGTGCCTGCTCACCAAGGGATAGAAGGCAATGAAAAAGCAAATGATCTAGCTAGGAAATGAGCGAACACTTCACTAACTGGACCAGAACCGTTCTGTTTTCCAAACGGGAACCAACTGAAAGCGGAACTGAAGAATCTGGAAGACTTCATCCGTAACTTGGAATGGGTGTCCTCCAACGGTCTAAGACACTCGAAAAAGTTCCTCAGAACTTACGACCGGGAAAAATCACAGGTTTTCCTTGATTTAAGTAAAAACAATCTTCGGATTGTCACGGGGTTTCTAACAGGACACTGTCTCTTCAACGAACACCTCAGTAGGCTGAAGCTGAGAAACAACGGCGAATGTAGATTTTGTGGGGAAAATGGGGAAACACCAGAACACCTTATCACTGAGTGCGCCGAGACGACGACCATTCGTGCCATGAACTTTGGTACGTCTGATGTCGAGGATAGAGAGCTGGCCTCTGTGGAGCTGTCTCAGATACTGGCTTTTGTTAAAGCCTTGAGACTGTATGATGAGTTATAACTCGGTATAACTCAAGAGAACACACAACAGATCTATAAGGTCGCGGTGATTAACTCCCCTCCTAAACATTCTACATTCTACATTCAAGGGGCATAAAACAAAAGTATGTATTTAAGAATTGCCGATAAGCAGTAAAATGTAATCTGCATGTCGGCAATATTTCATAGTAAAAGATCAAGTCCAATTTAAGACAATTTTACTATTTTAAGATAATCGTCTTTAAACGTTTATAAAATACGGTTTTTTCCAGTAAAGAAATGAATCAAGTCATACTTCACGCATTAAGCAGCTATAGCCTGTTTCTGTTTGGTTTCTGAATATTCTGTTGATTTCTTTCAGAAGTGAAATGAATGAAGTCAATAAAATTTAACGCTGTGGGTGATTTTAACACACGTGCTAAAGTTTAGAGCAAAAAAATATTTTTTTTGATAAAATGGATGACAATGAAACAAAGTCTGATCCATTTGCACCAAGTGAATCAGATTATCAGCCATCTGAAAGGTCTGATTCTATCGATTCTGAAAGTATAGTTTGATTTATCATTATTTTCACTATTACTACATCAATTAAGTTAGGCTTATTTTCTTACCAATACTTAGATATCTGAAATGCTGTTGATCTGAATAAAACTGTATGAGGAAGAAAAATCTTATCATTTCATATAGACGTAACGTAACACACTCTAAAGGCAAGACTTGAAAGATCTTATTCCCTTTATCCTATATATAGATACCGTAATTTTCATAAAAATCGAAGAAAACACTATCAATAGTGAAGAAATACAATGTGAAGTCAACAAATCCCTTAATGACGAAGAAGAATGTACCGATGAACCAATTTATATCTAAAATTTCAAATGTTCTCAGAGATAAAATGGTTCAAGTTCAAAAAAGTATAAACAAACATTCTTAAAAACGACCACAGTTGTATTTTGAGTTACTTTAGTTTGCAATATACAATTTTAAATATAATAACGCATTGTGTCAAGTTTTCTTCTGCAGCTTGTTTTATTTTAATTATACAGGGTGTCACAGAAATAAGTGCAAATATTTTAACTGGTAATATAGTTCAACACCAGAAACACGCCTATGAGGTTTTTTTCGCGAAAAAAAAATTCAAAATTCGAAATTTTTTGAATTTTTTTTTGGAATTTTTTTTAGTTTTTATTTAAAAAAAATAATTTCTTGATAATATGGCAACATAGGTAATAGCTGAAATTTACAAAAAAGAAAATCCAGAAGAGATCTAGTGGTTCTCAAAATTTTAGCGTTTTAAGTAAAATAACTCTGTTATTTTGGACTTATTTTAAAAACGATAAAGAGAAAATATGTTTCTTTTATCGGGATCTACCACCCCTTAAAATATTTGCACTTGTTTCTGGGACACCCTGTATAACATTAAACAATTGTAACTCTCATTTTCTCCATAATTATCTTCTAGGACTTGATCCAGTTTACTTCTGAACCCTACATTTGACTGATGGGTTTTCACGTCAAAACAAAAAATGCAAATTTATACTACATTTTAGTATCATTTTTTTAATTTGTTCGTATCCCTATGGTTATCACATAGAAATAATTAGCATCACATAATGCAATTAAAGATTTCCTGCAAATTTTCAGAGCTGTTTTTCAGTGTACATCGATCGTTGAACTGTTACGTAGTTATTTGAACACATACGTACCTACGCCTTTCGATTTCAAAAAATTATTACATAGCGCAATAACACTCTAATAGATCTATTAGCGCAATAATGTTTAACAAGCGTCAGCCAGAATTAATTCCGAGTAACCTGTTACTTTCATCTTATTTACTAACGTATTTTCTATTTTTTTTCCTTTTGCGTTTTAATTTGCCTCTTATAATTAGAAGAATTTATCTGAATATTTAAAATTAATTACTTAAAAAACAACGTTTGATCGGTTGATATAGTTTTTTTTAAAAAATTTCCAGGGGTGTAGTGAAAACAGTTTTAATTAAAATAAAAATAAAGTACTAACAACAGTCTTCAATTCAAAGGCCACTGTGACATTGTTTTTTGATCATAAATTAATTAATTTCATACTACAAAATCGTGAATTGTAACGCTGGGTTGTGAAATTTAATATTGTTCATTTTATATTAATTTATTTATCAACAAAAATTTTTCTATAAATTATCTTACATATACAAGGTGAGCCTTAAATAAGTGCAACTATTTTCAGGGCCGGTAGATCTCGCTTAAAGAAACATATTTTCTCTTTACCGTTTTTCAAATAAGTAAAAAATAACCGAGTTATTCAAGTTTAAAAATTTAAAGAAAAATATTGACATAATTGGCATCCCTTTTAGCACAGAATAAAATATATTCTGTGCTTTAATCTTTTAATGTCGTAACTATAGAGTAAAGCCGTAACTTATGGTATATCAGATATTAAGAAAAAACATAAATAAACATAACATACGTAAAATTTAAATATAATCATACAGAAAGTTTAGGGCTTTTTGGTTTTACCTTAT